TTAGGTTAGGTTAATGTGTGTGGATAAATGACATATACTTGAAAGTTATTAAATTTTATTTCAATAAATGACAACTAACCTAACCTAATTTTAAAGCGATGTGTCCCGATAATCCACAAGCACCCAAGTTTCTCTGCATGAAGGAGTTTGTTTTATAACACGTCACTCTCTCAGACACTACTAAATGTTGTACTGAGCACTCAAAATCAGATACAGTTGCCAGATTAAAGGAAATGTATTTCAATGTGTACTGCTAGGAAGGAATCAAACAACACACAGGGCATCAGGCTGCCTAGATACGAATGTGTTAATGTAAGTTACATACAAATTATGTGCAAAATACAATCAGCTTCTAAGGCAGGGATTCCCAACCTGCAGTCTGTGTGACATGTATACATTTTTGTAAAGTTAAAACACTTATATAAGGAAAGAACTAGTATTACCTAAATCAAATATTTATTTTTGAGTGAATAATTAATAAATATAACATATGAACAAATTTAATGAATATGTTAATTAAAATGAATGTAGTAATATGTAAACCTGCTTGCAACAGAAAATTGGTAAAATTCTTAAAACACTGCAAAGTTCCAGTAAACTGTCATTTATAACCTGGCGGCCCAAGAATCAATAAATGGTGAATGTGACCCCAGGCTTTATGAAGTTCAGTACCCATATTCTGCCTTGCAATGGGCTGATCACTTGTCCAAGTAGTCACACCAAATGTCTAAATAGATCAAGAAACCTTCCATAAGTGAGGAGGCTAAGGTCCTTCAAGGGCTGTACAGCCACAGGCAGAGAGAGAGAGAGAGAGAGTGTACCCATATTCTAAATACTGGTTGGACCACATTATGGCAGGTAAAGGGTTGTTTCAATGATTCAAATCAGCTACCTGATTTTTTTCTATAATCCTATTGAGCATAAGAACAGCTTTACAGTTCTGTTCCCAGACCATGAGCCAGAAATGGCCTGTGGTATGAGGTAGTGGGCCCTGGGTCAGGATGTAGCGCCGGTGGGCCCTTTCCATCTGTAAAATGTAACATGTTACCAGTATTCATGGGACTTCATATACATTACAGAATTTTCTGGATATTGCACAAAGCCAAAAGAGTAAAAATTACCAATGTTTTGGAGGAACTTGCAGACTCCCTATTCTTCTACCTATATAGTATGCAAAGTGTTGGTTGATAATCGTTTGGGGTTACAGGTTTTTTGGGTCTTATGGGATAATATTTATAACTATGTATAGTTACTACATCTTACAGATCATTTTTTAGATCTTATATAATCTTCTAACACATTTTGTCATTCTGACCTTAGAGGAAGCAGCACTTTCTTCCAAAATATTGATAATTTCTGCCACTCTGGCACAGTATATTAACCAAAAGACTGTACAGTGAATAATGCTAACATTACTATAACACTTTTAATTTCCTGTGGTACTGTCAGTTTTAAACATAAACACTGCTTCTATATCAGCAATCCAACAGACACTGTCCATTACAAATAAGTTCTGACATTCATTATGCAATCCTCAAAATTATAAACAGCTGAGATCATAATAAAAAAATTAGACAAAGAAAAAATAAACTAACCTAACAATAACATTGTAAATATATAAATTAACAGGCTAAAGAACTTAAAAATTGCAGAGCAACAAAAATGCCAACATCACTCATATCAAATGATGAACAATAAGACAAATGCACTGAGAAAGGGCAGGCATCACATAATTATGTCATTTTTTTTTAGAATGGCTCCAACTGCATATTTACAAACTGAATTTTGGAATAAAAGGTATAACCTACACATAGGTAAATACAATATAACTTACTGTAACAAGATTTGCATTGATGTAATCACAAGGCCCTTTCGATAATACAACTCTGCTATGGTCATATGGGCTGACATCCCGATACCTATTCAAGTTCTTGTTTTGTGATTTTCTAGCTTCCAAAAATGTGTAGTCATAATTTAAACATTCATTTCTTATGTGCTGCAAATAAAATTACAAAATATTAGTAGAAAAATATATATTTCACTTTTATTCTTGTCACACTTTCACTAAAATATGAGTAATGGAGATACAATTAACATACAAAACAAACTTCACATCAAACGGTAACTTCAGTTTCATGTTAATATTAATCAATATTATTGCATCTTTCACAAGCAGACAAATGCAAAATTAATGATTATATAGGTCAGTAATCAGAATTACATGTCTACCAATGCAACAATTAGTATCATGATGCAGTAATGGGATCAGAACAAAATATTCTAATAATTTCCCCCTTTTGCCACTGATGACCTCTTGATGTCAAAACACAGTTGGCACCAGTGTCATTTATAGTGTTAACAGTTTGTTTGTTTGCTTATTTTTATATTCTAATACACTACACGGTATGCAAAATTTTAAGATTACTTATCATATGTCCAACATTGCTTGTCTCTCATCACATTAATGTCTACTTTGATGCCAGAGGTATATTTTAATTCAAGGACAAGTAATCCCCTAACATGAATTCAGAATGTCCATCATGAAGTTCACAAAACCCAACTAGTGAACTCTACTATAAGCCAGTTAAATCCATTTAATATGTTCAATCATAGTTCTCTAAGATCCATTTCAATGTTATCTTCCCATCTAAGACCACATGAATAATAATTAAAGTCCTTGCTAAGATTTACTGCTTGGATTTTAGTTCAAACTGGGCAACACTGACTACTCTTTACAAGAAATGTTTAATAAATTTCAGATATATTTTAATGAAAATATACTGTATTAAAATGATATTTTGCATCTATTTTGCAACATACATTTATATCTCATGTTACCCTGCATGGCAGTAAAAGGTTAAAGAGAGAATTATTTTATGCTCTATGTATGATTATGCATTCTTTGCACAAATTATAATAAGAATGCATACTGGGAAGATGTACGTTGTTTGGTAATCTATCTATATGATTCATGATTACAGAATATAATTATAAACTTCATTTTCAATTATAATTTCTTACTTCCCCTACATAAAAATGCACAATTAAATTTTATAATGAATATACACATAGAGGCAATAAGTAAACACATCTCGAATCTTGTTCGTTTATAGTAAACAATGTCAACACATTATTTAAAGCCAATGTTCTGCAGAATATCATGAGAATTGAAAATAACATATGGTAGCTTTCTTGGTATAGGTAACGTCAGAAGATTTAAAAACATGATGTTTGAATGATCCCTGATACCTTAAACTCAAACCAACTTTTGTGAAAGTTATGTAAATAATTCTCAAGTTTTGGGGCATAGAGAGGCAATAGAAATGTGGACATTCTCTTTAAAACTTTACAATACAAAGACCATGTATCCAAACCTCTATAGCATGCAACTGCATGGTATCTACTGCCTAAACTAATGCCACAAAACAGAAAGTAAATTAACCTGCTACTGAATCCATATCTGTTGTAGAACTATCAAGTATTAAAAAATTATAAGAAAAGTATTTCTTTCAACTTTGTTAGTAGAACTACAGAAATCTGCCAGTAAACTGTAGCAGTACATTAAAACATCATCTAAGGATCATATATAATTGGTACTGGTAACTACATTGTAAAGATAGACTTATTTTACTTTCAAAAACACGTTAAAGAAATAACGATGAAGTACGAACAGTGTGCTGACTCCCCATCACATCACATAATATACGCCTCTAAATAAAATTATTATGAAGTAATAAAAACCACTAACATGACTCAGTAACAATTTATACCTGTTTTAATTATCCAGTAATATCTATATAGGTGTCTGTCTAGTGATATGGTGGGAATTGTTAGTTCAATGCTGTTAAACAGAATGGATCATGGACACTGACTGTAATCACAACAGTTATATACATATTTACGATTTATTTAATGATTTTTCAGTAGCTCAGACTATATAGCATTGACACATCAGTTCTATGGGACACACAATTTGTTGGGTTATGACAGACACAGACCACTGATCCCAGCTTTCAAGTAGTAATGATAAAACTGCCAGTGGCAACAAACCAAAATTTCAAATACACCAAATAAATAAAATGTAAATTGAATAAAAAATAAACAATCCCACAACCTTACTATCTGTCATAAATTTCATGATATATGCACAATAAATGAAACCCCATAAGTCAACATGCTGAAGTGTTACAATCTGTGTAGTATCATTTCCTTGTCAGTGAAACTTGTGAGTTGACAGGAAGTCTTATCAGATGTAGACACTGCATACTACATTAATGCCTTGGAGGTACTTTACGAGTTCTTCTGCTGATTTAAAAACAATCCGTTGCTACAGATTTTTGTCAAAGGCCTTCTTGGAATTTGAAGTAAGTAATAAAATACTGAGTGATGCATGTAAATGTGACTTTGGCTGTGGTTGATAATTAACACGTGCATATATCACTACAATGCTGGGGAAATCAAAGAGTTCAGTACTTAAATAAAAAGGTGACAACCCAGTGGTTTACAGATATCTTCATGTGTTTCAAAAACTGTCCTCTGCCCTTGAACTTGAATTAATCCAGATTCAATAACATCAAAAACATTTTCACACCTGGTATAATAGTGGCCATGCGCCTTTGGAATCTATTTCTAGAAATTCTGATTCTACATTACTTTTTGATGCAACCGCGTTCATTTTACTCGCACACGGCAAACTAGTAAGCCATTTACAAGAAATACAGGAAGCTTTCACTACAAACTCGTCTCCGAATTTCACCTTGCCAACACAACTTCTTCTATTTCCTTCAACTAATCAGGGAGGTCAATAAGTATAATATCCCTCAGGGAAATTAAATCTCTAAGAAAGTGAATATAAAATTGTATAGATAGACAATAATATTTTGAGCTATATATTCCAAAAATTGTCATAATATTTACATACGGATCATACTTACTTTATTTTCTGTTATTCAAAATTATTCATTATCGAGGACAATATTTCAAACTTTGGCACTTCTGCAGTTTCATCTGTGCTCAGGGCAGTATGTTGGGCCCTCTGTGGCATGTGGGGCTTTGGTTTGATGGTTAAGCTTTACGGATTACAATTAGGTAGAATTGTTGGAACACTCTGGTCTGAGTGGAGTACTTTTATTTTCAGAAAGCAGTAACCACTTATTAAAGTAACTCTATGTATTCAAGCAAATCATGTGTTACAACTTCCTAAATGGATAAAATGTGGAGGATATTTCGAACGACGTATAAAACTAACCAAAAGCTTTTCTGTAAGACATTGATATGCAATTTTGCGGACCAGTGTAAATCATGTATACAGTTAACAACGAAATGTCATTATGGATCCAGTACTACTGATACCAGCAGAGGAAATATTCAAGTGTATTATGGAGCGTTAACACCTCAGATTCGTGCAGTGAAAATTTTCTCTTTAATGTCCAGTGTAGCTGGCTTGGCGTCGCAGCCAATTCTTATACATCAAATGCCAAACTTGGGAACGCCTATTGTAGTAACCCTCTTGGGTTTTGTGGGTTTATTTACCTACGTCACCCCATTTTTGCTTCATATGGTTACAAAGAAATATGTTACTTACATATATTTCAATTCAAACACTGGAAAGTATTCTGCAGTTTGTTTAAATTTCTTCCTCAGAGAAAAAACGGTAATTTAATCCAACTAATACAAATGATTCATGTAGTGCTAAATTGCTGCTTGCTTTAAGTATATGTTGAGAAATACCTGATTGATACCACTGTTATAAATACTCTCATTCTTCCTCTGAATCATTGCATACAACCTGCCCTTTAATACTTTTAATTGTGAGGGAGGTAGGTGACTCAGGTCCAGATTTAGAGTATGATCCTTCTCCTAATGCTCAGGTACATCTCAACTTCCATAAGGAAGTTATCAGATTTCAAGAACTCTTCAGAGAAGTAAAGGGTTACCTCATAATGCCTTGCAAAATTATTCAGCTGGATGAACAAGATAAGCTGTATTAAATTCTTAGTTATACATGTATTTTCATGCCACTGTTAGAAATTCTCCGAAGTCCTTTGGTTTTAGATAAGGGATTTTCATATGGCTGAAATTGTTTAAATGGTTCCACATCTGTGCTATATCTGCATAGTATTGTCACACATGGGGATATATACATTGATACCAACTGAAAATGCTGTGACAAGACTGACAACCATGTATTCTAATAACAAGCCTGGGTGGATGGCCACATTGAAAGGCCCAAAAATTGTTCCATGACCCTAAAACATCAGTACTTAATCAGATTTGTCACATAGTTTGGTTGCTCTGCCACTTGCAAGACTACATGTAATAACCCTGAAGACCCAAATCAAAATGCAAATTGCAGATCTCACACAGTATTGTCCCATTATGATTCCTGTGTTCTTAGCACTAAGTGAATAAAACAAACAATAAGGTTATATGTTCATCCATCCACTGTGGTTTTCGGGATCTACAACAGAAACTTGTTAAATACAATTTAGGTCCATTTCAGTCTAACATAACCCCTACATTACATGAAACTGAAATCAAATGTACCATGTAAATAAGTATCGGTTTAATGCTTAAAACATCTCATTAATATCTACTCTTCTTTGAAACTTTTATGACTCAGCAGTTTTATTAGTCTTGAAACAGATTTATACAATGAACATTAAGGCCAACATGTTACTCAAAATTGCAAAGAACACATTTGGAAAATGCCTCTCCAATCTCCTTTTGTATTATGACAGTAGGTGAAGACTACTGTATTAAGACTGCTGCTTGAATACAATTTCCTGATTTTTTGTGTGTATGGAACTAATGGTATACAGGGCGCAACAAATATTTTTTTAAAAAATGTCACTGCCTATGCATTTCATTTCATTAATGTGCACTTATTTACAGATTACTTTTACAACAGATGATATTATTGTACCAGATGTACCAGGAATGTTTACATCTTTCCTAGTTAAGGGATCACCTCTATTTGTGGATTCACGGCTGTTTGATGATCCTGGACATTATGCAAAGATGATGGGCTATGACAAACCAATAGACTTTAAGCTCAGTAATGTCTCCCCCAAGAAGATTAATTCTGATGGAAAGAAAGATACATCTTAGCAGTCTGCAAGAAATAACTTCATAAGACAAGAAATGATTGCAAGCTTAGGACAAGTAAATCCATGAAAATAGTGTAAAGTGTACACTTAATTGTTTCACAGGTCTCCATATGTAATATTGAAGTTGAATGCAGAAAACATACATATAGGCTGTTTTAATCATTTATTTTGCAGCATGTTTTCATTATGTACAACAGATCTATGTAAAGAGATAATTTGTATGTACAAATAAATGAGTGACTATGCAGTGCAATTTCCATATTAAATTCATAGCAGCCCAATAATTAACCCTTTTAGGAGTTTGTGAAAGATAGGATGCACCTGACAGTAGTTATACTATTATAATTTTCTTCAAAGGAACATTTGAGATGTCCTATCACATGCATGTGTGTCGACAACATTGATAAATGGTACTTCATATTACATGCTTGTCAACATATATCATTTTATCTGGATTTAGAAAGCTACATAATTACAAATAAAAAGTTCACACTGTAGTCAAACAAAAAGATCAGTCTGACTGAAGTATACATTCAGTGCTGAAGTTGCATTATACCTTGCACTGGAACAAGCATTACCTTCAAATTTCATCAGAAAGTGCAGTCACAATGAAAAGCACTGTTGTCACTGAAGAAACTGCCCAAAACACTGTTCCAAATAAAGTCTAGGATATATATGGCATTTGGATAGGAGTAAATTGAATCTTTTTACCCTTTTTCACAGCATATTTTGCAGCATTTCTTCATTAAGTCTTCCTCTTTCACTTGGTTTGAACTTGGCCAACAGATGATTTGTTGCCATAAGTGCTGTAGTACAGTACAGATGACAGGTGCCAAATAATGGAAAGATTAAAATCATATAACGATTTTCCAAGAGGATATAAAATGAACCCTCTTTAAAATATCACTTTCATTACAGAATTCATTGTTACTTTCAGTGCCACTGAAATTCCTGAATTAAAAATTAGTATACTGTCTGGTATTTCTTTTATGAGATCCAAATTGCATCATCACTATAAAAATCAGATGCAGCACAGTGAGGTGGTTTCAGTTGTAAAGGACCTGAAGCCAAGTTAAAAGCACTGAGTTAAAGTCTAAACTCATTCACATGTACATAAATAGGGTGGGCATCAGAGTGACCATTTTTAATTCATGAATTGCAATCTCGGTGGCACTGGAGCAAGAAGAAACTAAATCGCAGAGCTGAACAGTCCATCAGACAGGTAAAGCCACTAATACTGTCATGATGCATGAGTCATCTGCACATGACTTACATGCATTAAGTGGCAACAAAGAAGTCACGGTCCAGTCTCTAAGAGAACTGGTCAAAATATTTCAGCATTCAAGTTTCAAATGTCAGATACAATGGGTTTATTTCAGAATATTTTCCACACATTTCAGATGTCTTTCTATAATTTAGTATCACCTTTAAACCTCTGAAGAAGGCTCTCAAGAAATTCATATGTTACAGCAGGCAGAGCATGTCCCTCTGAACTGAAGGGTTCTGTCCATGAACACAAAGCATGTCTTGCAACACACCGAAAGGTGAAAAGATTTGCTAATGTACAAAAGCGATTTCTAATATGAGTAAATGAAAGTGCAAGGGGCTATGCTACCATACTGTTTCCCCGTCATGTATTAGTTTTGGCACCTAAGATACATAATTTATGTTACATTTTAATATTTATTACACTATATATTGTAAATGTCTTCCATCAAATATTAACGTCAGTTTCAACAACTGAACAGTATTAGGCCTTCACAGCTTACAGCCATTTGCATGAAGCTGTTTCTTTTATCTCTACCTATCTTGGCACCTCTCTTAATATGAAATTACTATATACATTTTACGTTCAATCTAATGACTACATTTGTATTCAGAATTATATTTCTAATAATCACAAAACTTTGAGCATGTGAGAAGTACACAGTTATCAAAAAGTCACACAACCCACTAGCAACATGTTTCTTCTTAGCACATTTTAAATGAACAATATTTTCCACAATACTGTAAAACAAATTCAAAAACCATATTAAAATTTGCTCCAGAGGTTTCTGCTGTTAATGCGCTCTGCCTCACTAATATGATGAACGAAAAGCTAACTTTTAGGTCTATGTGGGGTATGTGTCTCACCATGCATATTTGTGTCTCCAGTTATACAGGCATGTCCAGATTCACTAAAGAAAACGTGTGGATTTCACAAAGATGTAAGCTTGGGCATTATGTATAAGATCTAACAGTATTTAAGGCACACACACAAAAAAATCCATATGATAAAGATAAATCTGAAAACATTCAACTATATGCTTTCTGGCAGTCAGTAAGATCAATATTGATAGTAACATTAAATAGTGAACATGCATTGCTCTTGCAAGTACGTCACCCTTGATTCTGAAGAGTTTAATGAAAAGTGACATGGTTGGTAGATGGCTCTAAGGCATGCACACAACATATCCAATGTTTGAATGTACCCACATCCATTACATTATATAAATACTTTGTACTTTTTAGTTTACAGGAAGTAAATCGACAGTATGTGTTGCATGACTTTTCGATCACTCTGTATTATCGCTCATAAGATTAAGTGCACACACTCAAGCCTTTAACATGAGATCACTCTACAAACAGTAACTTGATCAAAATACAAGATAAATGTTCTTTATCATCAAGGCCTTTCAAGCTGGGAGCAGGTCAAAGTCGTCACTAACGTGAACCATGGGGACATGAAGATCTTCAATTACAGGCTTGGCTTTAAACTCGCATATTCCAAGTTCTTTCATTTTCCATTCCCAATCCATTCTCTGTACAGCATGAAGAGATTCTGCTTCATTGTGGTGGCGAAGTAACATTGATTCCTGACAAAGGAAAGATGCAACATAAAAAAAGGTCATGGCTAACCCTATATGACCTACAAAGAGATGGACATGTGAACAGACAGACATGGCCGGCCCTATATGTATCCAACTACCAGGCAAAATCTCTACATGTACTATAGTCCAGATGCAAGTTAGTAACTATAAGATGAAAATATTCTGATGACAATCTTTGCTAAGAACAAAGTACATTTTAAAAAATCTTCCAACTTCAACAGTTCCACTATGCTATGTAAAGTGCAGAATGAAGTGACCAGTGATAATGATAATGTGACAATTTTGAATTGTGTGGATGAATATCTTTCAGAAGTTGAATTCAAGGACAATGATAATGAAATTGATGATAATCAAAAATCTGATCACAAAGTGGCATATCAAGCAGCAAACAAAGTGACTGGCAAGTGGCTCCAGTTGTCAGTGGCTGGTATGATGTGAAAAGACAAATGAAAATCTGGCTCTTGATGTCATGATGTAAACACCAATTTAATCTGAATACTTCATATATGTGCACTTGTGCAAATAATGCATAGTAACTTTACTGTGTGGAACAGGAGATTTAAACTACCACATTATTTCTATTACCAATCATTATAACACGTACAATTCATCAGTCCACAGAAGTTCATTATGCTGAGTTCTTGCTGTACTAGCTGAAGAGACTCTGTAATATAAGATAGGCATGTGCAAGAATGATTTACTCGATTTGAAATGGAAATTTGGAAAAATTCTGAGTATAAAGATAAGAATGAAAATTTTCTCTATTAGACTAATTTTTTCACTTTAATCAAAATTTATAACAATGTTCCACAATGCACCAAAGTGACCTTCTGATATCAAATCCTTTTTAAATTAAAAATTTCTATAAATCATTATTTTAAAAAATTCACTCCTAGGGCCATGTCCTAACAGCTTGTTAATATGAAAATTGTCAATACCAATTTCAGGTCACTTTTCACAACTTGCTGCATCTGAAAGTTTGCTACAGAAGTTGGTTAATAAGAACATGTAAAATTTTTAGTGCACAATGTAATAACTTATACCACTGTTGTAATTGTTAACCACACAGATTTATGTGGCAAAAATTCTTAAAAGTTTAGGAATAAGTATGTGGTAGAAAACTATATTGTCTCTTATGCCTGTGTCTACCATAATTCCTAGATACAGTAGAACTCATCAATTACCCTTTTCTGGGACTGATGAACAATAGTGTATATTCCAGGAAAGTGTAAATTAAAGGAAATTCTAAAACCACAAGCTTAACCCTTAAATGGAATGCTCAGCAAACAATGTAGGTAATTATTTTATGTCTTTACAACATGTAACGCCACAAAATCATTGATGCAAGTTAAAGTCACTCTAAGACTACAAAAGTTGTCACAAAGAATGAGCAGTGTATTCACTTATATACAAAAAAAGTATCATTTCTACTCGAATTTTTCTGTCTGTGACTATCCACACTGATTTGCATTTGCTTCAATGACATTACAGTCTGTCATATTCAAAGTTGATACTGATATACCAAGTTGTTTCACCAAGAAAATTCAGAAGGCCCCATATGGTATGCAGAACATTCCCTCTAAGGAAATTTTTTTCTTTCATATTGCCATCACGCCATATCAAACATGCAAATTTAAATTGAACACCTGCAGTGTATGTAAAAGACTCGACTAACAAAATAATAATAATGGCTAACTTAAAAAACAAAACCACAACAGAAATTGATACTTGCAAAATGGTGATTAAATTTTCAGAGTAGCCACCAGTTGGGAAAAAAAAACAAAAAACAAATGACTAGTCAAAAAAATTACACAAAGCCCAGGCAATAAAATGAAATGACGTGTATTTTGTGGGAACCAAAATAAGTGAAATGAAAGGAAAATTAATGGGACTGAAACAATTATATAAATCAAGGGAAAATGTACATCTGGGGACATAAATGTGAGGTTTCAGATTATGACCAGATGGCTCCAGTCTCAGACCGGAGTATGCACTTCCTAAGATGGTGCTGCTATTGCTGAGATGAGTTGGTAGTCAGGGAGGGAAGTCCAACACTGTGTAGAGAAATAGAGAAAGATGCAGAAAGAGAGACATGGCTTTACTGACAAGTTGGTTCATACTGCCAACAGTTATGACTGTGATGGATTGGGTAGTTTGTGTGCAAATGCAAAGCAAAGCAGTTACATGAAAATTTTCAAAGTTTGAGAATTAAAAACTGAACCAAGTCACTTTTTTCAATTAGTCTAAAAAGTTTGAGACTCACACACCTAATATAAAAGGTAGTTGTTCCTGATACTTTTTAAGCAGCATACCATGAAAACATACAGGGATGTGGAGGTATTAGCCCCTCTTTCTTTACCTTGTACTAGATGGAGTTGAGTGGTCAGCTTCACACCCTGGCTGCTTTATTCCTGGGGCAAAAGCCCCTAGTACCTATTTGATAGGAGGCTGGGTTGGCCCCAGAGCCAGTATGGACACAGTAGCCACTGTTCATTACTACCACACCATAACAATCCACCTACTATTATTACAGCTTGCTTCTTCAGTACTTACCTTGATTTTTTCCCATTTATCATCAACATCCTGCAGCCAACTCAAGAATAGACGGCCATTGTAACGTGACCGAGCGTTACGATCCTTCTCTTCCTGCTCTGGTGTTATCACATTGTATACTTCCTCATCCTTTAATATTGTGCACACAGAGAATGGGAGTGACTGGTTCGCTAGAGCTCTTGCAGCCCGGCCATGAACTCGAAGAATCTCCTGTTCAACTGACAGCACAAGTTTCTCCTTTTCAATTACATGCTGAAATGAAAACCTTTAGTTAACTAATGGAAACATATTTTCCCACTGTCACCAACTACACATCACATTTTGATGACACAAAATAGTTATACTAAGACAGCTTGAAGATGCTGTCACACTCAATTATGATCAAGACAATGCACAAACCTACTCACAAACATCATGTCACTAATATCAATATATATTAAGTCACAAATGTCCACCAGTCAAGATATGTCTACCAGACACTTCTGAAAGTAGTTGATGTCTGAACATCAGCACTCATATAAATGTATGAAAAGGATGTAGGTCACAGAAGTAAATAAAACCTTGAAAATGTGAATCCTGGGTATAGTTCTAAATTTAACATCTCCTAAATGATAAACCAGATACATAAGTGTGTAAAAAGTGAAACATGTTTTCAAAAGCCTGCTGATAAAAATATTACCTACAGTTTACATACTAGCCATACAGTACTTAAAAATACGTACAACTTGGTTTATTTACCATAGAAACTGGAAGGCACTAAGAAAAATGAACAAATACAATGCCATGTATAAATCATGCCACCTGTCACAGTTCAGCCATTAGTAAAATAACTGTTATAGCTCAAATAGTAAAACTGCCCCTGTGCATAAGCACAATGCACAGATGGTCTAGATGTAGTGTCTACTGAAATTGGAACCTGTTGTCCAGGCTGCTACCAGTCACTTAACTGACTGAGCTATCCTGACTCATAAAGCTCAGCTACTCGGCAGTAAACATTTTATAATAAACAACATATAAACAGTACTATTAATCAGGACTGTCTAGATTCTTAATCACCATTTCATAAATTTTACAAGATATTTATTACCTTAAAGGTGATGTGCAGCCATCTGTTCTGGCTGTTACATTACTTTATACATTTCCATAAACAGGGGCAACCCAGTCTGTCTTATTCATAATGCTGTTAGGATGCAGGTTAAGTTGCCTGTGCTTAAATACATCTGGGAATATAAATATAGTGCCATAACTGTGGCACTAGATGCAGATGAGTGATCAGCTCAGGGTGGTTAAATAAGGAATATGAGCTAGAAAAACACTTAGCATGAACAAGAAGAGAAATGAGTATGAAATGTTGGTTCTAAAACTTCTAGTTAGGTGAAAATAGGATAATATTAAAATAAAAACTGAAGAAACAGGCATTTGAATATGGTTATTTAAATTAAACTGGTTCAAGACATGGCCTAAAGGTGGGCTTTTGGGGATGCAATAATATAACAGTATGGCTACTTGAAAAATGGCAAAACCATGGAATTATTACCGATTCTATGCCCATTTTAAGGGTATCTTTAATGAACACATGAGCTATTCAGCACTTTTTATTGTTATTTATTCGTACAATTTCTAATTCATTTTCTACCAAATTCTGTTCACAACAGATGCATCCCATAATCTTTGTTTTCCTGACCTGTTGTATTTGGCAAGAAACATACCCCTCACTTCAGTTTCCAAACATGTTCAGGGGAAGCGTATATCCAATTAGATACCAGTGAGGAAATTAACTTTTCATCAGAATGTTGGACCATGTTACCTGCATCCTTAACCTGTATCGTTCCTTTTCCTGTTCGATGAACAAGTCTTTCATAGCGCCTTGGAGATTTTGTGGAGGAGACACAATTGGAACTGACATTCTTGATGACGCATTTCCAGCAAGAACATATGTACATCGGTTCATAAGGTAATCCTTAAAACCTTGCGGAGGTTTTGGTTGAACTGGAAATAGTCCCTTCCGACGTCTCTCAATCTGATCAGTACAGGAATTCATATAACATGAACAGTACTCAATCACAATTTTAACATTAATGCTAAGACAGTAAGATGCAAGACACCAACAATAAAAAAAAATTTTGGGGCAGCGTTTCCTAAACCTTCATCATCATGGAGACCTTTTGGTCTTGAAAGATTCTGGTACAACCCCACACATAGAAGCCTATATAAAGAAAGACAGCAGAACTGAGTATTCTTTGTAAAGTAAGTAAATATCAGTTTTGTTACACATACATTATTTAACAACTCTGTTTCAAGTACGTGGATTATACAGCATCAGATGAGACGGGAAGACTATCACAAATGATGTGTAAACAAGTCTGGAACAACTAAGATACAGCCAACTTGAAAGTGCTATCACAGAATTTTTCTGGAGAGACTGAGGAACACCATGAAAAAATTGTTATAACAGCTGGCAGCCCTGCCAAGATTTAAACTAGGTATTCCTGAATACAAGTTTAAAACATTATTGTGACACCAATCTACTGTGTACTTAAATTAAGAACAAGAAAATCCAAAATCAGACAATATATTTATTCTCATACATTTATAACTGTACAATGAAAACTGAAGCCAGCCAATGCCCCTTCCACTTTCTCATTGACATCATACAAGATCAAGATAGCACCAGTGTAGCTGGTCTACATAATGATATACATGTGCAAGTGATTTCATACATACAGTTCTTTAACATGCCAATGCACGGCAGCAGCTGTGCATGCCAAGTACCAATGCTGACATTAGTAGATTATAAATGGTACCTTACACACAGATTTTGAATTCAATTCAACAGAAAATCTGTTGTAGGCTCACTGTGTTAATATCTACAGAATCTTTGGCAACATCTCTCAGAATCTCAGGGTTCCACTGAACACAGATAACCAGTAGTTTAAAAGCCAATTAACCCTTTATAGGCAAAGCTTGTCTAAATATTATTTAATAATCCAGTCCATACTGAAATGAATATTTGTTTGTTTATAGTCCAATTAATGATGCTTTTTCAATAACTCAAATTATTCAGCAACAAACTGCAATGAAAACATCACAGTTCACCATTACGAAGATTAATCTGTTAACGCTGTTTAAGAAAATATTCCCCCTGTATACCAATAATCATATGAAACACACAAATGAAAAATTCAGCCTTATTGATTGATAAAGCAGCTGAGACATGTAGTTACTCCTAGGCCTTCCAGAGTTAATAGAACTGGTTACAGGTGTCAGAATTTAATCATGAATGTGTCATCATTCACAAAGAAGAAACATGTAAAACACAAAACAAGCACAATAATAAGAAGGCATGAAACAATAAAAAAGAAAGAAGGCAAAAAGAGAAGCAGAGATTAAATTTTACCAAGTAATTGTTGCATGTCCAGATCTGAAACTTGGATTTTGATAAGAATGGCAGAACAGAATACAAGCATCTGCAATAATATATGTAACAAGAGCTAATCATTTGGCATAAACTGAAATGAAAGGTTGGACACAAGTCATGGGTCATTTCAAGGTACTATGGCAGGTTTAGGTGCTGCCAAAATACAAGTCTAGAGCATTACCACTAAAACCTGCTTGCTCACTACCAGCAGTCCTCACACATATATGGGAGGAAATGAAAAAATACATAAAAAATGTTATTTGAACTATTTTTTTAAAGGGGGGGGGGAGTTGGGGATCAAATGATTTTTCCTCTAGCGTCTGCATCCAGACAGATCTGGGGCCCAGCCAGACTCCTATACAATGGGTACTGGGGTCCTTTCCCAGGGGTAAAGTGCGGCTGGGGCATGACACTAACCACTCACCCCCACCTAGTGTTGAGGTTAAGAATTAGTAGGAGCTACACATCCTCCTCCCTAATGCCTAAATGGCATATAGTGGGACAGCTTTACTTTAACTGAATTCTACCAGTCTAAAATGTATGTTCTTCAGAACCCAAGTCCAGCATACCAAACTACCAAGTCAGCAAAAATAAAAAACACATATGGCACTCACCTGCTTTCTGATGTTAAGAAACAACTGGTAGCAGTTCATAATTGGCTGGTCATGAGGGTGTACTTCTGTTGTTGTACTTGTGGAATCTGAAGGCTCTGATGTAGAAGTTGAAGCTGTTGCTGCCTGACTTTCTTTACTCTGTTTCATTTTTCTTTTTCTGGGGTGCAAATCAACAGGTGGAGGTTGTGGAGGTGTAGACTGAGCTGACTGGCTTTGCTGCTCAGAAGATTCTGTAATTTTCTCTTCAGGAGCAGATGTTGTAGGTGCAATTGCAGAGGGGACAGATTTAGTGATGCTTGTAGTAGTGGTTACTTCTGAACTTGTGATGGGAACGACAGGTTCTGCTGGGGATGGAGACTGTCGCTGACTGTTGCTCTGATTTGGTGATGAATTGTTGGATCCCCTGTCAACTGTACTGCTGCTGTTCAATCCTGGGGCAGCAGGAGAAGGAGCTGGTGTGCCAGAAACTGTGATTGAAGATGTGGAGATGGTATTTGATGATGAAACAGCAGTCACTGATCCAGTACTGCAAGATGAACTTGATGTGCCACCCCCTGATCGATGAGAGCTGCGCAATACCCTCTGGTGATGAGTGGAACGCTGGTCTTCAGATAATAGGGGTCCAGAAACTGAATCCTTCTTTTCATCATTTTTCACTGAATTATTGTTACTTCCCAGTTCTGATGGACTTTGTCCACTAACAGAAGTTGAAGCAGAACCTGCTGTACCTGATGCCTCTTTATCAGGAACAGAATCTGCACTATTAGATGAAGGAACAACATATGGCAGTGCCTGATGATGCCGAGTTGTGCCATTTTTTCCATTACGATTTCCTTGTTCTTGCTCCATAGAAGCGCTCTGTTGCGGAATTACAATCTTCAGTGGTGGAACCTTTGGCCCTGCAGTCCAAGTGGGGCTAGGGCTTGTTAATGACCCTACTGGCTCTGGATTACCACTGCCACTGCACTTTCCTCCTCTCCCATCATCAGTTTCACCATCACTTTCAGGTGCCAGTCCAGGCACAGATTTACTGCTATTCCCACCACATGATGCAGAAGCATTTGCTAATTTTGGACTACTACCAGCTGATCCTCCAGTACTGCTTGGACTCCTACGATCTGAATTGCCATTTCCTGACCCATGGACAGTTTTAGTAGCAGAGCTGCTACCATTCTTTGGATTACAAGTCACCTTTGAACACTTTTCAGTCGAGCTTCCATTCCTACCACCTCCAAATCTGCCTGAAACACCACTTCCATTCCTTGAATTTTCTTTCCCACTATCTGAATCCTTTCGTTTTTTGCGTTTACTTTCTTCATCTGCATCTTCTCCAGTAAGGTTTGCTTCTGAAAAACTTCTTTTGCTGCTCTGGTCTGTGGGGCTTTCTTGCCTACCTGGACTAGTACAAGGTTCCTTGCCATCTGATGTAATCACATGACCTTCCTTCTTTTCAGCATCAGGTGATGCACTAGTTCCTCGCACAGATGAAGTCTCTTTGCCACTCTTAAACTCATACACATCTTCACCACCTGCTGCCTTGCCCTCCATGCTGTCACCAACCTCAACCCTATAGACAGAAAAACCAACTCCACACTTATCCTTTCCACCAAAGCTAATATGTGTCAGTTAGTAAACACAATGGCTATAAGTTTGATGACCAGGTTTTGATTCCTGGCAGGCAGAGACCTTTTTCTCTTCTTCATCACATACAGATTGGCTCTGGAACATTCTCAAGTTCCTAAACACTGTGTACCTGGAATTCTTTCCCTGAGGGTGAAGTGTACACATCATTAAGCTGACCAATCAAATCCACCTGGAGCCAAGATTAAGAACGTGAGGAGCTATACCTGTACTCATCCCACAATACACCTTCATGACATGGTACATGGAAAAACTTTTTCCACGGTTAAGCTACATCCTTCCCATCTGAATGACTAACATGTCACTAAAGGTGATTTATAATAATGGCTATGAGATAATGATATGGATATCTGAGACCATGGAGCTGAAGAGAATATATTATTGTAAAAAGAAGTAACACAAGAATACAGAAAACTTCATAATGAACAGTTATCATAATTTGTACTTTGTACATAATACAAAAAAGATTATCAAATAAAAGAGGCTGGGAATAATGGAATATGTAGCATGCACAGCCATGAAACCTCAACTGAAAATACCACTAAGAGAAAGAGGCATATGTATGTAAATTGGGTGGGGCCTTAGCCGACCCTTTCACTGTGACCATTTCTGATCTTTTGTGCACCCATGTTCACTGAGCATGCTTAACCTCTTTAACTAGGGAAACCTGTGCCTCTTAGGTACCCTGGTCAGAGCCTACCAAAACTTGGGTACTGCTACATACCCTGGTTGCCTCAAGCCACTGGTATTAAAATTGTCTTTCTGATTTTAAGCTTCCTTCTGGAACTTTCAAACACTTGGTCTTTGCCATATGCAATCTGCCTATGGAACAAATAAAAATGGTGCGTAATATATGGTCTGTATATACTGCATTTTTCTCGTGATTATGCATTCCAAGTTTACCCAATACCGTAAACTGCACTTACTTACCGATGTTGTATCTTGTTGGTTAAAACCCTAGCTGCCATGAAATATAATTTTTTGTTTAGAATATGTCAACAAACGGATAAAGTGGCTGATGGCTGCTGGCAGAACTTACAACACAAAAAAACAGTCTGACAAACACATGCAACTGCATTATATGCAGTGGCAGGCTTACCACTTAGTCACCCCTACATTATAAATAAAATACCACACACAATACACAAGATACACTGTTAGTTAATTAACACCATGGTATTTACACTGGCAGTAAAAGAATGATAAAGACCAAAAAGTCAGATTTACAAGTTTAACACATTCTGTTTCCTAAAATCTGCCAACGAGCACATACCTAAGTCTGCTGCTGCACATTACAATCGACAGCAATCACAAGCTACATACATTTTCAGTGAGTCAATTATGTCTTGACCTTTAATAATTACAGAAAAGTTTGTTGCATACCTAGTTAAGTAGGTAAGTAAGAAAGAAAGAAAAATTCACAGTGGAACCACGGTTCCGGAGAATCTGACGTAAATACGTCTTTGTATTTAAATTATATTTAAGCAATAAATACATTGAAAGGAAGTTTATATATTAGCTTTATTCTAAATATTTCCTTTACACATGCTTTACAATTGAGTAAATAGTTTGATTAAGACACTACCTATTTAACTTGAATTAGTTACACTTAAGATGGGTCTGTGGTAGCTGAAATATGTTATTAAATTTGTTCACTTTAGAGCATCAACATTTCATGCAAATACCATATCTATACAAGATTTTGATCTAGTAGTACTACATTGAGGATTTGACATCAACATTAAGCCAAACGTTTCCTCCATAAATGTGACAAAGCTTTGATTTTCCTCCTTCTTTATATCAATGTTAATCTCCTGCCAATGTTGAGCTAGCAACAATTCTACATCACTTGACAATTCTATGTCTTCTATCAATTTTATATTTTCTTCTTCGGCAGTTTGTTGTTTTTGTAAAAATGCATCGTTAACTGTAATCTGGTAATGTTTTTACAATGGAGTATTAATCAAATAAGTAGGCCAACGTTTTATTGTATCTTTCTTCACAATTACTACCAGATAGGCAGATTTGTGAATCAAGTTTCTCTTTATATGGACATTGAAACTGTTAACAACATCCAATTCTCTAGATAGTAGCATTACCATATCATTAACATCTACTGGAACATTGATTACTTGCCTCCTAATTTGCATAAATGAAGGTCTAGGGGATATTAATCTTTCGCTTATGCAATCTAGAGGAGGCAAATCAGTGGGGTATGGTGGATACACAAATCCATTACTCCTAGACAATATAGGTATTTGCTGCTTATTTAAAGATAGCCAGCATGTTGTGCATACCTTAAATTGGGATAGATTTTCATTTACAAACTCTGTACAATATATCTAAATGGCTATCAGTAACTTGTTTCAAATCTTTTTCAAACCATAACCATTACCAGCACAAAATTATCTAGTCTACGACGCACTTCTTCTACAAGCGATTAACAGCTCAGCTCTTTCCGCAATAACAAAAGCGGATTGTTGACGGGAGTAATGTAACACAACAATGCCAAGTAAACAGATGATGTAACAATTAGTTTCTTAGGTAACATAACAATGCATGCAGGAGTTCATATAAAAGCTGACCACTGTCAGTCCATATTTACACATTGTTGATATGGATATTACAAATCTTCGTAACGCTGTTTATGCAAAATGACCCTTCCATATAGACGTATTTACGTCAAAAAAAGAGAGATAAAACTGCCATCTAATCAAATACAGTGGAACATAATTATTTAAATAAACTGTTATATAAATTGTTAGCTTTCATACTTTGTATTTCCACCAGAGATTAAATAATATAATAAAAATAGTTAACAGCTTGATATATATTTCAAGTTTGAGGGTGGTAGGACCTCATGTGCTTAGCAAGGTTGAGTCTCTCAAGTTCAGATCATATTTAAAATTATTAGCTTACAAACTTCTATTTCTTCCTGTTTTTTCTGTGCTCTTTGTGTGCATAAAATGAATAAACACAGGACAGATCATGCCTGTCTGCATGCATGATTCAACTTGAGAACTGCTGGAAGGATTTGGATAAAATTTGATATGGATGTTATGCCACAGGGAACTAACCTAAAATAATGCTTTCTAATTTTCTACAATAAGTAATACAAACATGACAAACAAACTTGTGATGTGGGACTGGCACTAGTGCCACATGTAATATGGCAATACAGTGATGTATGGTAAAAACGTTTTGGAAAATAAAAAACTTTGGTATAATAATTCATTGTATAATGTAAAATAATAACACGATAGATGAATGAAAGAAAAAATTGACTTCACCAGGATTCAATCATGTGATACGCACTACTTCCATATGTAATCTTAGAGTTAAAGCATCTCATGATGTGGCATTCTTTATAGTACTTAAAGAAAACTTTTAAGACCACATGCTTTCTATAGTTTGAAATTAGAATTGTCTAAGTAAGATAACTGACAATCATTCGTTAATAATTAAGAATTTGCCAACAATGCATGTGTGTATTCCAGTACAAAATACATCATTCAGTCTTATTTATAAAAAAGTATCTGTTGAAAAGAGACACAAGAACATTAAAATTCAGAAACAAATGTTAAATTTCCAGACACATGAATCACTGGTCTATCTAATGCAATTGTGGTCAGCTGTCTTTAATACCAACCATGACATGGAGATGGTCAGATTTTCAACTTTCCTTGTCTTTTAGGCTACTATTATACTACACATGAACACATCCAAAATTCCAATAAAATTACTATGTCAGGCTAAGATTAAGCTCACAGAGAGCAAAATAAACTTAATTTTTAACTTTTTGTACAAGTAACAGACTTAACAGTCTGGTGACTTAAATTACTCATTAACAACTAAACTGAAACTCTTACCACTTGTTATTACTAGATGCTACATCACCAGCTGCTGCAACCTTAATTGATCGTTTTTCATCCCTTGCTTTTATCTGGTGTAAGCGCAGATTTACCCGAGGAGAGCTATACTTTTCACCTGTAATACAACATACATTTATATACATACACACACAAACACACATATACATACATTTTATATATGATTCATCATCAGGGAATTTCCATACACACAAATTTAAAATATTAAAATCAGGCACAATATAGTCACAGATTAGTAACCAATACCTATGCCTCTGCTGCTCACAGAATATTCTGACACATTCTGTTATTTACTAACGTTTTTGTTATAACTGTTCTGGATCCGGTAAGAACAACTTTAATATGAATTATGAAACAAACTTGTCTGTATTAAATATGCTCACCATGTTATGCTAAAGAATGCAATGGTCCTCAACACAAATGTCCATATTTACACATTGTTGATATGGATATTACAAATCTTCGTAACGCTGTTTATGCAAAATGACCCTTCCATATAGACGTATTTACGTCAAAAAAAGAGAGATAAAACTGCCATCTAATCAAATACAGTGGAACATAATTATTTAAATAAACTGTTATATAAATTGTTAGCTTTCATACTTTGTATTTCCACCAGAGATTAAATAATATAATAAAAATAGTTAACAGCTTGATATATATTTCAAGTTTGAGGGTGGTAGGACCTCATGTGCTTAGCAAGGTTGAGTCTCTCAAGTTCAGATCATATTTAAAATTATTAGCTTACAAACTTCTATTTCTTCCTGTTTTTTCTGTGCTCTTTGTGTGCATAAAATGAATAAACACAGGACAGATCATGCCTGTCTGCATGCATGATTCAACTTGAGAACTGCTGGAAGGATTTGGATAAAATTTGATATGGATGTTATGCCACAGGGAACTAACCTAAAATAATGCTTTCTAATTTTCTACAATAAGTAATACAAACATGACAAACAAACTTGTGATGTGGGACTGGCACTAGTGCCACATGTAATATGGCAATACAGTGATGTATGGTAAAAACGTTTTGGAAAATAAAAAACTTTGGTATAATAATTCATTGTATAATGTAAAATAATAACACGATAGATGAATGAAAGAAAAAATTGACTTCACCAGGATTCAATCATGTGATACGCACTACTTCCATATGTAATCTTAGAGTTAAAGCATCTCATGATGTGGCATTCTTTATAGTACTTAAAGAAAACTTTTAAGACCACATGCTTTCTATAGTTTGAAATTAGAATTGTCTAAGTAAGATAACTGACAATCATTCGTTAATAATTAAGAATTTGCCAACAATGCATGTGTGTATTCCAGTACAAAATACATCATTCAGTCTTATTTATAAAAAAGTATCTGTTGAAAAGAGACACAAGAACATTAAAATTCAGAAACAAATGTTAAATTTCCAGACACATGAATCACTGGTCTATCTAATGCAATTGTGGTCAGCTGTCTTTAATACCAACCATGACATGGAGATGGTCAGATTTTCAACTTTCCTTGTCTTTTAGGCTACTATTATACTACACATGAACACATCCAAAATTCCAATAAAATTACTATGTCAGGCTAAGATTAAGCTCACAGAGAGCAAAATAAACTTAATTTTTAACTTTTTGTACAAGTAACAGACTTAACAGTCTGGTGACTTAAATTACTCATTAACAACTAAACTGAAACTCTTACCACTTGTTATTACTAGATGCTACATCACCAGCTGCTGCAACCTTAATTGATCGTTTTTCATCCCTTGCTTTTATCTGGTGTAAGCGCAGATTTACCCGAGGAGAGCTATACTTTTCACCTGTAATACAACATACATTTATATACATACACACACAAACACACATATACATACATTTTATATATGATTCATCATCAGGGAATTTCCATACACACAAATTTAAAATATTAAAATCAGGCACAATATAGTCACAGATTAGTAACCAATACCTATGCCTCTGCTGCTCACAGAATATTCTGACACATTCTGTTATTTACTAACGTTTTTGTTATAACTGTTCTGGATCCGGTAAGAACAACTTTAATATGAATTATGAAACAAACTTGTCTGTATTAAATATGCTCACCATGTTATGCTAAAGAATGCAATGGTCCTCAACACAAATGCACCTACATTACAAAGATCAATTGGTTAATGTTGTTTAGGGAAATAATTGTTGTTTATTCTGAGAATCAGAAGAAACCTATAAAATAAATTCTGTGGGCAAAATTAATTTATTTGTTGTTAAATCAAGTAGTAAATATAGTTTTACCTTCTGGTTTTAAAGGGCTCTTTACACAAAGCGCATAAACTACATTCATAATAGGATGGCTGTATTATGTACCTGCCCACATTTTATTTCAAAAACAAACACACATTCTGATCGGTAAAAAAATCAATAGACTTTCAAAAGCAGCTACTAAGCAAATGTTTCAACATATTCAGTTCATATGAACGGGATGTTTGATATAGATGGAACTTTCCAGGTGCAATAATGTTCCCATAATCTTATGAAACGTTCATTCGAAATGGCCAAATAGGTTAGAACAGTAAGAAAATATTTTCGCTTTGGTACCATCGTCAGCAACATTTTGACTTCAATAATAAAAATCAACACCATGGTGGTAAGATTCAACTCTTCGGTGATGGGAAACGAAATAATACGAAAATGCCTAACACTACGTCAGGCATTCATTAAGTCACCTACTGGTAGTAGCAGTGAATGAAGTTCCGACATAACAGTCCACACAAATGCGTCACTGTGGCCTTTGTAATATAAAAGAGCGTGTGGTACAGAACAATTTATACTGAATACTTCCTAATATGGTTATATGGAAAACCGACAACCCAACTATGACCACTACAAAAGAATAGTACAGCAAGATACGTTCAATCCATCTCAAAATGAAGCAAACGAATTAATAACTTCCTCGCTCTCTTACAAAACACTTACTTTGAAACACAAATTATATTATTTAAGAGCTTAAAAACATTATACCTACAACTGAACAGCACTGCGAAAAAAATTATATACACTTCACACGCTAGTCGATATCAACGCATAACCAACACACCACAAAAAAAGTGTTCCAATTAGGCACATAAATTCCACAATGCACCTACGGAACAGTACGTACCACACGTACACTGTCACGGATCATCATGACACATTAGTAATATCTGTGCTAGTAATCACTGTTTAGAGATGGCTCAACTGTGCTAGTAATCGCCTCCCTCCATTTCCTTACCTTTGTTCTGCGGTGATATCCTTCGCATCTCACAGGGGGCACCACTGGATGTGGTTGCGCCAATTTGACAAGCGGGACTTTTCCCACTGCTGGAACTGGATTTAACCCAATTCGATTTAAAATTAATATCATATAAATAGTTTACACAATAATACTTTTAAGTATGGTATGACGGAGGGAAGTCATAATTGACGAAACGGTGACAGTTTTAAGCTTCAACTGCAGTCCCTCAGAAAATAACAATTAATTTAGAGACAAGCTGTGAATATCAGCATTAATAGTACATTTTTTGTATGACAATGCCTAATGCATGTTTTCCGTCACTGAAAGCACTATCAAATTTCTCTGTTAAGCAGTCCACATTATTTATTTCTCATAAAATTGTTTCGGTAGTGCAGACATGAAATGTACGTCTCAGTAGTTTTCCATTTCAAATGCGGAGACATATTTACAATGGATATAAAATAATTTATTTGCGCGTGGAGAATCACATTTCCCTTTTCGTTGTCACCCATTACCGGTAGACCACCACTGCATCTTTCGGAATGTTCCGGCGAAACTCACAAATATTACAGTCGGCTAACCAGCAGGGTCTCAGCTTAGGGTACCGACCACCTCCTCCCTGAATCGTGACATGGTCTGCCGCCATTTTGTCTGCTCGAATGTGAGTGGAGTTTCGTCCCCTCCTTCGAAAAACTTCGACCAACTCTCGACTCGCCACGAATATCGATCATAGTTCTACGCATACTCCGTCACTGTGTTTACATAAATTTAGGAATCTTTAAATTAATTTTAACAATTGCTGAAAAGCATTGAGGCAAATAATTATCAATAGAAGTGTTTAATGCCTAATGCAATATATTCGTTTTAATACGGTGACTTTCAAACGGAGCTGGTGAGAATGGCTGAGATGAAAGGCAAAGCAACATTATCAACCACTGGTCCACGGATCATCAGAAGCCATAAGCTTACATTCTAATTTGGGTTACATTAACCTAATCGTAAACAACACTATTTTATAAATATCGACGTTCGCTGGTTATTCATCTCCTTTTAGTAACCAAATACACAGTTTGTGCCTTGGCGCATACTTTTCAATTGCGAATGGCCACAACACACATTGCTTTGTTACGACTGTATCTCGGTGGGAGAGTGAGTTGTCCATTGCATCATATTCCTTGGCTGAAGTAGGTCTATTCCAGACAGTATCTACGTGACGGTTTCGGAGTTAGATCTTCTTCCATCTTACGATGACTGGTTGTAATTATTTGTCTAATTTATTGTTATTTTTATGCGTGTCTATGCGGAGCGCCTATTAAAGTCGCTTTGTCCATCCATCCACCCATCTGTACGATTCAAGAATGGCTAATGAATTCTCATGAAATGTGTCGACATATAACAACTTTACTCAAATTCGGACAACAATATAGAACACTCAAAATCGTTTCTGCACGCTGAAATGGTTTCGTGTGGAATTCCCCATCCACCCGTAAACGTCAAATTCTGGTGAAATTTTTACGCTATGCGTACCTTTTCTGGCGGCTGGGATTGAAGCCGAGGCTTTTGACTACTAGGCTAGCACGTAGCACCAAAGTATCGTGTAGGCCAGTGGTATTCAACCTTTTTTTGTTCGCGTACCCCCAGATATAATTTCTCTTCAACTTGGTACCCCCAAAGTTGTAGGTTTATACTTCAAGTTATACATAGTATATAATCTACATCTAAAATAAATTAAATAAATTACATTACTGATTATTCAGTGTTTATCATAAAATAATATTTTTTTTAAATTTCACGTACACCCTACGATGTCTTCGCGTACCCCCGGGGGTACGCGTACCCCAGGTTGAATACCACTGGTGTAGGCCATATTAAATATGAATATACCACAGAAAATGGACAGTGTCAAACAAAGGATCTAATATTTGCACAATTGTACTCTTCGTTTTAATTCCTCCAGTTTGGGTAGCGTAGGGGTGTTCATAAGGTGTTATCCCAGGACTGGTGACCTCAGATTTATGGGGGTGGTGTAGGGGCTATTAAGATTCAATCTTATTGTTTTCCCTATATTAGCTCCCCCCTCCGAATGCCTATACGCTCTTATTCAAAAATTCGTGTAAATATTAACCTCCCTTTTACGTCTAGATCCCACCCCTTTCTATCATACCATTGATTCTCTCTTAAATTTGCATTGCTTTTGTTATTTTTTCCTTCCTTCCTTCCTTCCACCATTTCTTTGGTCTTCCTATTTTCCATACTCCATTACTTGTTTTGGTAGCCTAATCTCGTCCATGCTTTGTACAATCCGTACCAGATCAGTTGTTTCCTCTTTACTTCTTCTAGTATCGTTCTCTCGTTTCCTGTTTTCTGATATAAATACAAACACATAAATTATGTCTAATTAATTAAGAGGTCCTAAGCAAATAAACACATAGTACAAAATCTTTACTTGGCAATTGATATGCATTGAGGTAGTTAAGAAATCTATTTTGAATGATTCTGGCAATAGAGTAATACAATTTGGATTGCTGGGTTTTTGGACCTTGTCTATAGTCTACGCAACGTTTAGAAAACTCGATCTGTCCTCGTCTGTAGGTGTAGCGAAGGGGGCACCTAATCTGTGGGGTCCGTTAGAATGAGCTAACCCAAATCAACACACCTGATGATGAGGCCAGAACCAGTTCTCGAAATATTGTGCATTTTATTACCTCGAAAGATGGACAATGTCCAAAAACCCAAAATCAATACAGTTACGAAATGTTGCGCATTTCATGAAACCTGAACGTTGATTGCAATGCTTTTGTAAGCCAGCTATCGAATTCTGTCTTTAACCAGTTCAGTTCATTTCGGATCTCCACAGCCTATTTGTCTAAGATTAATTCAATAACCATCTTATATTTACGCCCAGATCCCACAGGTGGTATATATACATATCAAACGCCTGTCAGGACACCGGGGTATGAAATATCGGTGACGCAATTTTTTGAATATCTTACTAAAAACGTAAAACGCTCTTTACGTGTGGACTCGTTTCTGCGTAACTTGAGGGGTCGGGAATCTTCTGAAACTTCGTATAACGATTCCTCCTTGCCCTACAACTCGCTCTGCCGGCAATCAATACATTTCTTCCTTCCAGACGTGATCTCTATTAAAGGAGAACAACGCCTGGCTCCTGCGTCGAAATCATGTGATATCAGCATCATCCAAATGTTTGGTTGTCTTTGAAATAATACGATTTTTATTTCCCCATTTTATTCACAATCGTCGTTACACAGATCACTTGGCAGACTGAGAAGGATAATATAAAAACGTACAGAATTAAAAAGAAAATCTGTTTTCATGTAAAATAGACTAAATTTACTTAGGATCGCATCATATATCGGAGTTTGATTTTAGATGTTGTGAACCTCAGGCCTGTAGCTCTATTGATCACAATCAATCGTATAAATTACAGTATTTATTGCTTATGGATCCAAATTCGCTTCATTCGAAGTCCTTCATGCTATAAGAAAATATTTTTCTCTGTATATAGGCTTAACACATGTTGTTTTCTACAAACATATTCATTTCTAAGAGATAACCTGCTTATTATCTTCACAACTCAACTCAACTGATCTAGCTCTATTCATCTTCTTTCGACTACCTCATAGTTTATAATTCCAGATATTTCCTTATAATGGAAATTTATTTGATTTCTTTGTAGTTATTGTTGAATATCCTTATTTCTATTTTCATCAAATAGAAAACAGCGCAGGCCGAGAAATTGTTATTCTGTTGTGATATATCGTATTTTAAGTGGTTTTAGGTTTATGTAGGTGGTCTAAATAAAGACCACTAGAGAAACGGAATGTTGCAAACAACATGACATAAATATATCTGTGGTCTCGTATCAATAAAATGTAATTTCAGTGAACCTCATCCTTTTTTCTAACATATGAATGCAACTAAGAACAAAATAATACAGTCCTGGTCTGCATCCAACCAGTGTGTTTAGTAGGGCCTACGTACATACGTACACACATACCTACATTCCATGGATCGTAACGTTAGAACTAGTAAAGAATGTGAAATAGATCAAAGTACAAAACGTACAGATGAGTACAATTTAAAATACTAAGTTTCACAAACGATAAATTTTAATATTAAAATATTACGCTATATCTACTGCTATACAGCAGGCTATGCAAGTACATTCCCTAAAATGATCGAGTCCTCTTTAAACTGCAGAAATTTATCAGTAAAAGGTGTGTGTATATTTAAATATTTTTAATGCTGCTGTAAATGCGTCCTTTTTATCCAAAATAGTTTTGAGACCAGATAGTACTCTTGATGATTCTGATGCCAGCATAATGAACATCTTTTTAAAAACAATTTTGTTATATTGATCACACTGAATAATGAGAAATTATTGCCATCCAAGTTAAATGGTTACGTGTTTCAAGTGAACAGTTAATAAGAATAACAATAGCAAATATGTTAATGAAAATAACTTAGTAGTAGCCTATGTGATTTTTCTCTTGCCTAGTATTTAAAATGAATAACCATGGAACTTCAATAAGTCCTCATTTATAACATGGCAGAAATTGAATTGACAAAAATGTGCGTGGGGTTGTAGGTCACAACTGATTGGAAAATCCTGGAATTTATTATAATATATGGCGATTTAATTCATGCATATTTAATCAGAAATATCGTTTCTATTCTGAAATATTTTATAAGCCAAGCATTGCCTCACAAATTAGAGACAATTCTGGACATAATATAATTCATTTTACAGATTATGTTGATAAAGAAATTTTATGCCTTATCGGTCAAGACATTCTTAACAGTCTTGATGGAGAGGTTAAAACATATCAAGTTCATGCACACAGTACACGATGTCATGCTTTCTCACATTCTTAATCTCTGAAATTACTAAATGGATTTAGATGAAATTTGGTACAGGTGAATTTTGGTTTGTATAGACAATCGATAGCACCTTCTTTATATGAAGATTAAAGAGAATTTTGCCTATTTTCTTTTCAAAGGCTCATAGCCATAATAATTGATGCAATGACATAAAATAAGAAATCTACAGTTTTAATTTGAAAGGTTTGTTATGCTGAACGATAAATAATTTCAGACTTACATTGTGATGTATGTAGAGTGATTAACTCAGAAACAATTAACTTATATTTGCAACAAATGAACATCAAGGATAATGAGGAACTTGTAAAATATGTGACGAGTAGGCCTATACCTTTCCAGGTTTGCATTTTCAGAAAACTAATATAGTAAACACAAATACGACTCACACATTACTAGGCCTATACAACTTCACATAATTCTTCACAATACAACATATGCTCTTGATGGAATCTTCAAGGTAATGTACTGCTATTAAAGAACATGATTTGTTCACATTATACTACTTTGTTGTCTATGAACTGCATTTGGATCTTCGATACCATTGACTGAAAATTTTTTTGACACCAGACAAATGTAAAAATATACTTTGAAACTAGAATATGGTTTATTAACACTTCAGTAATCTTGTGACCCCTTCCCCACACCTTGCACCCAATACAGCAGCAGCAGTAGCCAAAACTTTGAGTCCAAACACTGGATGTAGACTTAAAACACTGGATTTCCTACCAAAGTTCACCCAAACCATGGTTGGCAATATCATAAGAAAAGTAATATTGTTCCCGTTCATAAGCAGCACATCCTAAAGGCTTAAAAGCAAATTTTACATTTATTAAATGTGTTTGTAATTTCCTAAATGGTTCTCCATCAGTTACTGAGTAGAATGACAGGTGTAAGAATATTACAACTAAAAAAGCTTCTATGTATAGAATTTGTAACCACCTATGGCTCCCTGATATTTCATCATCTCTTAGTTACCTTAACAGTGTTAAATAATATATGACTGTTAAATTAAACCAAAATTTATTAAAATAATAGTCTTGCGAAGCCCAAGGAACATCACTGAGGTAGAAGTTCATGTCTTGCCCTTAAATCAGTCCAACTGGTTGCTCTAACAGATTCTCAGCTGTGCATTTTTGTCCACCTCTATGGTGACTATGTCATCTGAATCAAAAATAAATTATACCCATCTTCTGAAGAACCTGATGGTTACTCAGCACATCCATTGCAGCCCACAGTTAGGCCCTAACCCAAGTCACTATAATTCAGTCAACATACTATTTCTCCAAAATTCAATGAATTGATGATGCAATGAGAAAATAAGAAACAAATCGCAAATTCATTCTTTAAATTAAAAACATACATTGAATGAATAACAAGATACTTATAAGTGCATTAACATATAGACTGTGGGATGATCATGGAGAAGATCGATTGACAAGTGAAGCTGGAATTGTGAACTCCATAACGTACAGAATATCTGAAACTCACTCTTTCACCACAGCTGAAATACTGCCAGGAGTATGGGAGTACAAATTACAGGGATTTTAAAATTTGGCCAAAGTTAAATAGAACACTGCTCATTTATTCTCATCATCTGCACAAATGGATAACAAACACCACTTCATACTGACAGCTACAAGTGATACAAGAACCACTTTACAACATGTCAGAAGATAAATACAAGATTGCTTGAATACAAAGAACAAGAGCACACTCTCACAACTTAAAAAAAATACCATAGCAATGTGACATTGGAATGTTTAAATAGATGAAGATGAGGAATAAAAAACATTCAACATTATTTGAGTATGTATGTGCATATATATATATGTTTATTTATTTATATTGACTTCATTATTAAGATATTTCATTTCTTATTGTTACCATTATTACTGAAAAAGTAAGCGTATACAGCTGGATGATACATTGAATACATTCTTTTCCATTCAAAATAACCACCAAAAATATTTTAAATGTAAAAAGGTCATATATAAATTTTGGATTTGTGATAATATTTAATTATCTAGCCATAAAATATTTCTCTAACATAAAAAATGTGCCCAATTTGAATCACATCTTGTATGTGATTTTTTACAGCATTATGCATGTTACATATTCCAAATTCTATTATTTTGCTCATCACGTGACTATTCATATGGCTTGGAAAATGTTAACACTAAATAAAAATAAAAATAAATAATAATAATAATAATAATAATAATAATAACAATGACTAACCAGAAAAGCTGACCACATCTATAATACATGTGTCACTTCAAGAAATAATTAAGATCTTCATAAAGCTGTGTTTAAAAATAATGATTTACAATTTCTCTGTTTGAAACCTTAGCTTATGAATGAAACATAAATTAAGAGGTGTATTAATATTAAGAATAGATTTATGTTATTATATGGAAAGTGTGTGGATGATTTGGCAGCATTTAAAATTATTATTTTAAGATCTGTATTGATGTCTGATCCATAAAAACCATTGTTCTTAGGCTATGATAAATAAACAATACTAAATATGAACAATGGATACCGTAAACAAACATAAGATAGTCCTTGGACTTAAGTCCTTTTTCTTATGCATTGTAACCTGCTCCCAGTAATACACATTCCTTTTTATGAAAATATTTACTCAGAATGCTTTGCAGTGCCCATGCAAATATATTTCCTACTTTTATATTTCTTAGACATGTGCTAGTTTCTAACATTCCTTTGTATCTACTGTTCTCCTTCCAAAAATACAGACTTCATTTAAATAAATATTAAATAACATTTTTAATTTGGTTATATTCTGCCTAGATCAGTGACAAATATTCTGGTCTGGCTAGTAGTGCATCATAAGACCACTAAAACTGGAGGCACATCAAAACAATGCCTTCTCCATGCAATTAAAGTCATAATGTTTTGCTTGGAATCAGCTGTATGTATTGTGCAGCTTAGACATCACAGAATTTCTTAGCTTTCAGTCAAGCCTAGGAAACAGATAGATTCACTCCTTGACTGCAGGTCCGAAAACTGTTTTTATGCATGCACAGATGAGAAGGAAGAGACAGAATGATTCCAACAATCCCAATCATAAAGTCTAAATTCCATATATTCAAACTTCTATATCAGGATTCACCACTGGCTCAGGAATTACAATTCTGAATAATTTCAATACAGGCTCTTCTTGTATTAGTAGGTCTTTCAGATGTACCTGAAAGGGGAGACATAAACATTCAGGTGTGGATACATCTTGCGACTAAATGCAGCTTACTCTTTTACACTGCCATGACAGACGCCAATCTCTATGCTACAAAAGCAATCCCAGTTCTTCCACAATCATCCTAATGCCAAACCTTGCTTCTTTGGTATCTTCCTTACCCATATATGCAAGTAATAGCAGTTCAAGTCAAACACAGATCTATGACCTGCTTTCAGCACAGGTATGCCATAAGCAGAAGTGTGTGGTTGTAGAATGACATACTTCATAAGAGGTGGGCTGTAAGTCCATATATCATAAATAAATTCAAGTTAAAGCTCAGATAACTTTCTGACACAGCTTTGTAGGAATGCTTTATAAAAGTTTCTTACACTTACATAAGTATGAATAAAATATATACGAAAATATACACAGAGTATTTGAGTAAATAAATGATCGACAGCTGGGGGCTCATATACTAATAAATAAACAAAGGAACTGGCATATAAATCTTTTCATTAAAGACAAATGTTGTACCCCGCAAAATTTAAATTTCCAGAAATTATATTAAAAAAATATATAACAATTCTGTCAAATTCTGTAGATCTAGCTTGTAATGAAATCGTGGTATGAGTAGTCATAAGTAAGTTTACATGGCATATATTACTTAATTCAATGAATTGTTAACTCTTAATATAAAATCACTGCACAACATACAAATTATTTTTACAAATCCTTGTTACATCTGAGATCATTGTTGAGTTCTTCCAAATATCACAGTGATATTCCATGTATTAGCTCCTGAAATAGATGATAACCTCTAGGTGACAGATCAGGGCTGTAAGTGCTAAGATTTCTACTTGAACTGCTGCAAAATGCCCTTACTAAGATGTCCTCAGTGTCTTTAATGGCTTTACACAAGTGTGTCAAAGTTTCACAGTAAGAGTGATACTGATTATTGTGCTTCTTCCAGACAATCTACAAGCAGAACATCTTTTCACCCAAACACTGGAGATGTCTCTTTTCTGGCAGAGTTCTCAATCTTAAATTATTTTAACTGAGAAGAGGTAGGCTGTTTCCATGTCATGCTTCAATGTTCTGTAACTGGGTATGGTAATAAAGTCATGTTTAATCACATGTAACAGTATGTCAACAGTATACTGTTGAAGAAACAAGTAACTAGTCATGAACTATCTTGTAATGCTATAATACTCAATGTGCATATTCTTATTCCATTTTGCCACTTATATATTTCTTGTGATTAAAAAACAAGTAACTACACTATTTCTTCATTGGGCCACTATGCCAATCAATAAGACATACTGAAATTGTCCTTTTAACCAATGGTCAGTACTTGGCACAACAGGAAGCAGTGTTACTAGCCATGATTAAAGAATTTCACTTATTCTTCCAGCATCACTGTGGATACTATGTCTTACAAACTGCATGCTACATAAACTTACTTTCTGACCACAAGTGCATTACTACCTATGTTCACGAGTCCTTTCACAATATGCATGAAAGGAATACCATATTGCTTAGGCCATGTTTGTTAATGTGTTTCATCTCTACAACTACTCAACGGATCTTGATGAAATTTGGTACAACAGTTTATATTAAAAGCAGTTCAGTGAGTTTAATTTTGTCCATATCAATCTGTGATAAAAATCACATCAAACCTTATAAATTAAAGAAAGGTTATCACACAAAAAGATTAGTATAAGACAAAATAAAGATCTCTTACATTTTTCAATATGATATGAACTTAAATACAAGAAAAAATTATGACTCTGCACAGTATTTTATCTATCAACAGAGGATTTGCATCTGAACAAATGAACATGAAGGGTGCTTAGGCATGTAGCATTGTCAGAATCACATATTCAATGCATGTTATCTCGTATGGGCATTAAATGCTAACTCATCATGCAGCAACTAACCTGAAGGTAGAACTTTACCAATATTGAAGCTATCCAATAAACGAGATCTTGAACCAGTAATATTCATCTTCACACTATGACTGACAGATTATTGAATTACTTAATGACACTTTCCCAACTGCGTGTGTTGAATGGTAAGATATTTGTGAATAATGAACTAGAAATAATGTGAAAAGAAGCATTAATAGAATGGCTTCTGAGGAAAACAAGAAAAATCCTGTCAGAATATGTAATTTCTAGATTGATACTTAAACCCAACACCTCTTTAAATATGAAGCAGGTCTGTCTATTAACTGTGTGATGTTTGGTGCTCCCCCACAATCTATCTCCTTCAGATCCAACTTAATGCTGTTGTCCCATCCCTGTCTTACTATTCCAAGTGGCAATTTTTCCAAGATGATTCCCTGTCAAGACGCCATATATATAGTACTTATTCCCTCATTCATCTACATGTCCAGTCCATTATAACCTCATCTTCAGCATAAATATAAGAAATCTCTTGGTACAATCACAAACAGCTGCTTGAAAATAGTCAGCTCTCAAACAACTTGTGCATTAAATATGATTCAGCAATGCAGAATACCAAAATAATTGGTACCCATTCTATAAATAAAATAAAATTACGATGATACTGATATCCTTGCTCCCTTTTCTCAATCATTCCATTTACATACAGTACTACAACTGACAAGGCAGATTCCTTGATGATAGTATCTGTATATTCATGCAAATAAATGTCTCATTTAATAGGATATAAATAAATTACAGTACAATGAGAAACATTTCCAGACCCATGTCTAAGATACCACACACTTCCCAACAAACCAAATGGTTTGTGTGGAGAAACAATTATTCAATATTTCTATGTAACTCCACAAGTTGGATGGTTAAATAAATTATCAGTTATCCTTGAATAAACATCACATAAAAAATTTACAACATAGTAATATATCCAAGCCAAGGCAAATGATTATAAAGACAGAAATAAAAACATTAATTCAACAGAACATCTTGCATACTTCAACATTTATTAACCAGAGATCTCAGTAATCTGAGAGGCTAGATAACCGATGACCTTTGAGGGAAAATAAGTCTAAATTATTTTCTATCATCCATACACACTCTATTGTACAACAAAGTGTAGTATTTAAATTCTTTGAATTAGTAATGCAATTAAATAAAAAGACCCTGTATTAACCCTTTAAATGTTATAATTTAACAGAGTAACTGTCTGTGCTGTCTGTTCACAACAGATATTTGTAAAGAGTTAAAAAAGAAAAGAAAAGAAAAGAGAAGCCATAAACCAAACAGCAAGGTTTCCTTGTTATGATAAAAAATGGTAGATGGCACATGCATACTGTAGTATAGACATTGAATAAGTTCTATGCCACACACACATATACTTAGCCCAACATCAAAAGGGGTAAACCAAGAGAAAATAAAGTATAACTGAAATTCACTGTTACAAATGTGAAATTACATATAAGAATTAGTACTGAATGCCCAAACACAAAATATCAGTTTACATTATCTTTACAATTTATGTATAATGGCAACGCACTGAAGTTTCACAGAATGCAAGATGGAGAGAAAGAAAGAAAGAAAGAAAGAAAGAAAGAAAGAAAGGAGCAGTAGTAGAAACCATTAGTAAGAGTCAGAAATATCTGAGAACCAGAATACACCATGCATGAAACAATAAAAATCATTTTTAATCTTACACAAGTATAATTTATTCATTATTTACAATTTTGAGATATTAGGAATAAAAGTGTTTTTAAAAATACGTAAGTTATCATTACAACTCTGTAGCTTCTTACAAGGTCACAGTGCATAAAACTTCATTTGACCAGTGAATGGGTAACATTTTATCATAGTACCCAACTAGTGTTTTAAGCCACTCAGTGCAGCTCTAATTCAGTCCATACTTCAGATCCTGAGCACAAAATTTATAATTATTTTTAGACATAATCATGCCTAATAACAAAATGGCAAAAAGAGCACTCTCTGCATCTTTAAAAACAGCTTATTGAAAAATCTTCACTAGCTACTGCTACAATAGGATATGCACAGACTGAAATTTAAAATTCCTGCATTGTGTGCCTTTACAAAACATAAAATTATCAGATGATATATAACATCTGAAGTTAGATATATAAGAAATTTTTAGAGAAAGTGAAATTCTTGTCTTCATTAACATTTCTGTGTGTATATATTTTGAAATTCCCTTTTTAATACCTTTCAACACAAGTTTGAGAGCCATGTAACAATCCGCACTGCATGAATAATAGGTAAACCCTTCCACTGCCAGGAAACTAAGTTAGCCAATGAAGGAGGCCTGTCATGATTAAATCGGACAAATGCTTAGAGCCTCATTTTCTGTTACTTGTAACTCATACATGTTAAAATATGATGCTGCTATACAGAATATTTTATTTTCAGTATTTTCTACCATACCTTAGGTATAGATGCATAAGTTTCTTTTGTTACTTACAAATGTTGTTCAATATTAATGAAATGGAAAGAAAAAAAGGGAGATGTCTGTGGGCTACTTAAAAGTACTAAAAAACTCATACAGGATAGCTGGAATAAATATGCATGAGGTACCTATTTCATTCAAGTTTTGAGCACTGTTACATGAGCCTGCTCAGTAAGTGTTAATATATTTATATAAAAAGAGTCTGGTATGAGCTGCAGTACTAGGCTTGGCAGGAACAGAATTAAGGATCAACAATTCCTGGTAATTTTGGTCACTTCTGAGCTTCCGTATATTTTAAATCACAAGTATGAAGAGATGCAAAGGGTAGAATGTGCAGCAACAAGCCTCTTATACTTTAGACCCAACCCTACAATCACTTGAATCTTGTCATCACAAAGACTCTCTGGTAACTGAGCAATAATAGTGTAATTATTAAATCTGCTATAGAGAAAATATTACCAACAAAAGATTAAATTTAAGAGTTCTTTTAAGTTTTGAATTTTACTTATTGTCTTATGTGTTAATAGTCATGTAAATCCAGTGCAGTTTGGTTGACTATAAACCCATTAACAAACCAGTCAGGTGCATGGTTTAAAAATACCCTGTGAGAGGTCAGTCAGACCAGATCTATTACAAGCAGTTAACTTTCAGGAAACATGGAAGTTATGCTTGTAAGATCATTAGTCACAAAACTAATGGTAGTGTAGAGGCAATGAAGGAAAGAAAGCTAATTTTCAATGAGTAATTTTAGTAAATGATTGTGACACATGAGTTTAATCATTTAACCCTTCTGAGATGATATTTTTATTATTTGTCATGAATATAAAATGGAGCGCATTTTATTCGTAAAAATATTGTGGTAGATTAAAAGACGAAAATACAGTTTCTACTGACTGTGACATATGAAATATTTTTGCACATAACCTTTACTATAAAGGGATCAAACTTTAAGAACATATGGTGTAAAATAAATGCCTGAATTATATAAAGCCCAGTTTGATATTTGCTTGCTTTTATGCATGTTTACATTTGGTTTAACTCACAGAGGCCTAAATTTTCTCAGTAATGAAGCTGGATGGCAGAATGTTCCACTTTAAAAAAGTTGCTACCATTAGGCAGTTATTTTACATTGCAAGTAATGGGAGAGGATATAGAAGAAAGGAGGGAAGAAGATGAAGTATGAAAAGAATAAAGAAAATAAAGATTGGGGTTAAGGAATGAAGATATTATCCCCTGCTGAATTTCAATGTGCCTTTTCTACTAATATTTTAAAGATCGTGAAATGATTAAGTGTGAAATTCCTTAGTATGCAGAAATGCCTTGTATAAATACAGTAGTCACATGTATGATGCCTCATAGTGAAGTGGCATTTTTATGCAACTGCTTTGTAAGGATGAACTGAATGTTATTTTTGCAGAAACTGCCTCTCAAGCAGGATATATGCAACCTGAAATTAATATTTACTCATAGATACAGATCAATCATTAATACAAAAACATAAAAGTAAAACACAGTTTTGTTTTATATACTTTCCCCTGAATATCTGATAGTTCTAATGTTTGGAAAATTTTGTATTACTTCATTGTACAGGTCTGATCATTATAAATATATTTTACAAACCTTTTTGTGAAAATTAAGATCCCACACTGTATTAATTAAATATGCAATGAGTTTTTATACCACTCATGTTAATTTAATAAATTTGTTAAAGTTTTCTTTTTTCTCAATTTACAAGTATGTGACAGAAACATATTCAGAAAAGAAACATCACAATGTGCAAACTTCATATTGACATTCAAATGTTAACACTGGTTTGTTTCAATGACACTTATAGTTCTTCTGTCTTACTGGTAACTAGTATCTATTGCTATACATACACAACAAGATTTTGATTACACAAATTTCACAAATATTTAGGATGACCAGACATCCAAGAATATTGTGTACTGTTTTAACAATTTATTTGACAAGATATATTCTCTTCTACCAAACTCAAATTAAATTACTTTGCTACATGCAAAAATGGCTCTACAAGATGAACTAGCATGAAAACTGCAGCACATTCTAGAAAACAATTTTTGTTAACAGTGGTGATTTTCTAAATATATAAACAAATATAAGAAAAGTACTGGGTTGTCTTGAATAGGGTTGTCTACTGAAGCCAAAGAAATCATAATATACATGGTTGAGAGCTCCACTGTTCACTATAATTTGTTTTTGTAATTTGAAGTTCCTTTGTTCCTGTTGCCCCTGACTGGGCTCCATCTCCCTCACTTCTTACATTGTTCTCAATGGCAGGTCTTCCTATTCTCTCTGGACTGATCTTCCTACTTTCCTCTATATAAACCATCCACATCCTAACCCTATTCACTGACAGTGGAAATGGAGAAAGCATACTCCTTCAAAACATTGGTGTAGCTACAAGACTACATGGTGTAACAACCCAGAAGACCACAACCTTATCCTAATTGGTTTAATTTCTTTGATTTTGGTTTAAGTAAATTATTAACTTTAGCATAAAATTATTTTAAACTCAAGTTCAAAAAGGTTCTGGGTCAGTAATATGGTATGACAGAGCAGGAAACTACTACTACTGACAGCTGATCACAGTCATAACAATGAAATTTGAATACAAATATGATTTGTTTACACGAAATAAAAAGTTGACTCTTTAATCCTTGGTAAAGAAAAAAATATGTGATTCAGCTGTGTGTTACAACAATGTAATATTTCATCTCTGCATGCGTCTTTTTAACTTTAAAAATTCTGTTGCATGGATTTCTTATCTTGCTTTCTTGCTGCAGAATTTCTTGCAACAAAATCTTAAATGTTACAGCAGTTTGTATATTAGATGCAATTCGTACATTTCTGGGTAGCGAACTACTGTGTCCATAACATTGAAAGGGTCATATATACATTAAAATTATAATATTACAGTGAGCTGATATCGTGTCAATGATGGTATTCTGGGATGCAACACTGTGTGAACTTGAAGCCAGAAGCCAATATTTTAGAAAAAACGTAATGTCTCCATCTTCAGCCCTGAAGATGGAGACAAAATATTTCTCCAAAATCTACATACAGGTCCACATGGTTTTAAAACCCAAAACACCAAGACTGACAACAGCAGCGAGAACTTCAAATCTCAGGTATCACTGTGATCGTCAAACAAAGTGTGATTATTATGTACAGATTGTGTCATGATGAATATGTAATGAAGTATAAAGATAATAAGGGATCTACTTAGTTTTGCAGCAATAGACTTACATGCAATAAATGAATGACAACTTTGAAACAGCAATTAAAATCACTTACATAAAATTTGGTTTTTCTTGAAATTTCTAATGATGTGACAGTTCACTGTATTCAACCAACAATGGATAGTTTTCTTTTCCTATAAAACTTATAAGGCCAGCAACAGATTGTATATATTTTGCTATTTTTTGACAATTTGCACTGTCTGTATGATCCTACAGGTCACCTGCAATGAGTAGTGTATGTCAGTGAGAGTGTGCATCTTGTTGCTGAAATCTGTCCATGTTACAGCAGCTGAATGACACTATGAACGCAAATGCTGGAACAGCTTAACAGAATATGAGATAAGATATGAATTAATAACAATTTCATTAGGATGATAAATTCCTGTCAATACTCTAAACTTAAGCGCGCGCACACACACAGGACTAAGAATGTAGCAGACATACCCAGTAATAAAAACAAGTTTTATAATGAAAAAGCAAAAATTATATTAAGAATGTACTTGACTAAAATGTAGTTTTGTTCAGATACTTTGAATCTCACATAAAATAAAACTGTGGCATAAACTTGTTCTCATTCTTGGGTGAAGACACCATGCTGTGGTGGATCAATTAGCAATTTTTGGAATGTGGAATTCCCAATTTCCTTGTGGCCTGAAACTATGATTATCAGTGCAAGGCCACTGTTTAGCCAGCTCATCTTGAAGATGAAAACTACTAGATTCTCTGAAAGGTTGGCAAACTAGCCTGCAACAACACAGTGTCACAACTTAAGGATGGAAACAAGATTTGCTACAGTCTGCCAAGAAAACCCAAAGACATTGCTTGGACTATATTTGATGAACAGCTAAGGACCCAAATATCACTCCTCAAAATTTTGACATAATGTACAAACTATCTTTTATTTGATCAAATTTGTGTTAAGAACATAATGGTCCATGATTAAATTTTCTTCAAAAATTTGTTTGAAAACTCACACAAAACAAACATACACAGATATTAGTAATTAAACTTCTACTTGTACACAAATTGTGTGCCTGTTATCAACTTGCATTATAAAAATATTCCTGTTTGAACATGCTGCAGTTAAATATTCTAACATGCATTAAACTTTGATATGGCAGTGTTTGACGGATTGTTTCCAAATTTTCTTCTTGTGGTCTGGAAACCTCTCCCACTTGATGGGTAACATCATAAACAATGTAGCTCCCTTTAAAGTTCAACTAATGTCCAGTACTGATGGATATAAATCTGGTCACCCTATTGGTATTCAGTCTTTAGAAAGAGGCAGAAATTGGGTATCACGTCATTGTTCCATAAACTCGATATGTTTGTTTTTACAGTCCACTTAGGCTGTCTCCAGCACACTGATGGCAGATGTGCATTATTACATCTGAAGGACTTTAACATGGAAGGTGGTTAACATTCTGGAAGATTCAACAACTTAATGAGCATATTGTTAACAACACAAACTGCCACATAATTTACACAAACAGTACAAAAGTTCAACAATTTTAAACACCTCGTGGAACTTCTGTTTATATTAGAACACAACTATGAAGCCAAATCGTCCCACAGATTTCCAACCCGAATTAGGAACATCAAAAAATAATAACTATATCAACTTGGAAAGTTCAATGTTAACAAACATATGTAGAGCATTATAAAATCTTGCAAGATGGAATCTTTTCAGAATTATTTAATATATCCTTAAATATGATGGTCTTGTATGAAATGATAGGAAAAATATTGCATTTTTGATGTCTACAATTTGATACCTGATGGTACCAAGCAGGTTCCTATATGATATCCATTTTGCTTCTCAAGCTGTGGCCCTGTTGATTGGACGGGGAGGTGGCAACATTACAGTCTCCACAGACTACAGTAGATCCTCCGGGCTGGTCTGACTGTGGTCCCCTGGCAACACGGGCCGGGAATGAGTGAGTGTTTCTGTCAGCTTTGCATTGAAATATTACAATCTGATCTGGCAGATGCATAAAGGCTGGTTTCATACTGAACCTAATTTATACATATATTAAATAGATGACAATACCATGGAAAACATTTGATTCTGAAGCCTTTTTTTCTATAAAATATGATGTGGAAAATGGATGACAGTTAGTTTTCTGCTAACATGCATGCATGCACGTGCACACACACACACAAACACACATTAAGTATTTTATTTAAATGCCCCTGTACATACAAAGAAAAATGGCCAAATGTCATTTCCCTGAATATTCTACATAAAAAAATGGTTTCACAACACCCACATAGTCTGTATCAGAAGCAAGGTATCTTAAAGTCACATATTTTTACCATTCATAAAAGTATAGTTGGGAGTCATCTATGAAAGACTAAATAAAATGCAAGCACCTATATGGATGATTACACGCAGAGCCCAGAGTTTATCAAAAGATTTTAAGGCCATGTACATGTCTGCAACCTGAACTTATCAAGGGAGTTAAATGGGTTAAGAGATGGTAGTATGCTGCAATATTAGATTGAAGTTGAACAAGCATCCATTACCACATAGGGAAACATTCAACTTTAGTTGACATCAAGAAATAATCTTCCTTCACTGCAACATTCAACTTTATTCACTGAGCTTTGAAAACATTTTTGTTGGTCAACATACTGCTACCATGCAGCTTGAAGCATCTGAAGTTGTACAAAAATATTACATTACATTTGAAAAATAATACTGAAAATTTTTCATATTTTTCTTTACAATTTCATTATTTCAGGAAAGTGGTGAGGAAATAATGTGTAGCAAAAGGATTAAGCCTTTATTTCACATCATGTTCTAACAGATGCTATGAGGCTAGTTTTCTATTGCATGCTGTTCACACACCTGTGAAAAGATGGCACTACTCTGTAAAACACATTATTATGAAGTATTTCTGCTGGCTTGGACCTAGAGGTCTCTGATGTGCCTAATATCCCCAGATATGATCTCACCAACTTTTCTGGCTTCAGAAATTTTAAGTAAATAATAATATACAGAGGCACATCATTATTCAAGGCTGTTTCTGCCTATTTAAAAGAACAATTTAACAAAAATTTATTAAAATTGACATATAAAATATTGAAACATATGGACAAAACAAGGGTTGGGGCAAGACTACATGTTAATAAATTACAAATTTAAATATTCAAAATACATAAAATTATCCATAAGACTGCAGTAAAGTCTGCCACTGAATTACAGGCAGTTGAATAAATAAAACTCATTAAAAATGTTTCAACAGCAGATCATAAATTCTGGGGCCATCTATAATGTTGACTCAAAGATCCAACTGGCCAGTAGAAGTACCTGCAGCTTAGTGTGAGCTATGAATGGTCGTGTGTCTTGTATACAAGTATCACACACTTACAAATTTACCTTTCTAAAAGTAGTTGGGAGGGAAATTACATGTGGTAAAATCACCACAGTGTCATATCAGTCATGAGCCAAAGACCTTTGGCACAAGTAAAAAAATGAGGTGTTATGATACAGGCAGTATATTCTTAAAGCCATAAGAGGGTTAACATACAAGCAAACAGGCCAAAAAGTTGTGAAAAACAGACATTACCATTGTGACAATGTCTTAAATTATAAAGCCATCATGTCATATTCATGGTCTCTTTAAACACAAAGCAAGTGCACAGTACCTACATCATACTAGCAGATAGGTACAAAATCACTATATGATTAGAAACAAAAACACATAACCTCAAGTTATATTTGTTACTTAAATTCTATAACAAATAAATTCACAACCAAGTGCTTATATATCAACAAAGTTCACAATTTGTACTACTTACATAGTAGTATTAGGGTAACTAATGGGAATATGTGCAGAGCATGTAGCACACATGGGGAAGCCAGAAATACAATGTCTCAAAAAGCTAAAATAAGAGACTTCATAGATGAGCTACAGATAGGAGAATATGTTAAAACAGATCTCACACAGAATGCAAGGATGTCAAGCGTGTAGAAATTGCAGGGTCCAAAGGTGGGCTTTTGTGAATTTATTGATAAACAATTAAGTTCAAGTAAATCAGGGAGTTTCTTGACTAGTTAAATAACTTTAAATTTCTAAAATATATAACATGAACATATAAGATGAAATGATTTGACAAGATGCAAGATATGGATAATGATGTTTAATAAAAAGAAGACGTTAAAGATGGATATGAATGATGATGCTGAAGGTGGATATAAAGATGAGGAAAAGGGTAAAGATGAAAATGATGTATAGATAAAGTTCATACATTAAGATAAATGTGAAAGGGAAATATTTTGTAAAGTTTATTCACATCACTACAACCTGCAGAGGCTCACCTGAGTTAGTAGTGGCCAGCATGTCTATTGGCAGTGATCCCCTACGCTTAGCCAGTGCCTGCTCCCTTGTCCGTCGTGCCAGCAATTCACGTCGCCAATGCTGCCATGACACTCCATCTCCAAAAAGCTCAGATCCAGAACTAGCAAACATCTCAGGACCACCAGAACTGCGCCTGCGCAGAACTTTCTTACGAGTCCTCGATTTGCTGTTGTTCCCATTCCTTCCCAAACCATTGCTGATCCTGAGCTCAGGGTTGAGATCCACTGGGACAGAGTCCTGCCTGACGTTCACCAAGTACTGCTGGTTAGTGACATGGGGCAAAGCTTCTTCTAGAGGCCTTGTAAAGATGTTACTCAAGGGGTCCAGCCTCCTGTAGTGCACATCCTTGATAATGCCATCACTTCCCCCCGCCTTGTCTCCTGAGAAACAAAACATTGCAACTGCGTGACTACACACACAACAAAGAAAAAATCTTCCAGTCCTGAAGAATATATCCATACCTAAGTATGGTGGTACAACTGACTGTCATTCCATGTCTCCCCTATGGCACTTATCAGAGAAACTGTTACATCTTTAAAAAAAGGTTAAAGCCTTTGTCAATATATAGTTGAAATTTTCCCCATACATTGTTAGAATTATATTTTTCTATCTACCTAATAGTATTGTGTAGCACATTTAAAATGTCTGAAATCTGACCAACAAATTTTTAGCCACAACCCATGAAAAATATTACACTGAGACATAGATAGTTTCAATGTGCATGAGAAAATTTGAACCAGTTCTGTACATGGAAATAAATCTACTAATGCAGACATAATTGACAGCATTTGTTATTTAATTATTTATCTTCCACTCTGTACTATAGTCTCATTCAAGCCTTGGTCCTCTAATTGATGAGGTGTTCTAATTGTTATTAAGGCAGGCTATTGAACTCCTCTGACAAAGGATCATCTCACTGCAAGACTTTATAACTACAAACATGAACAACTATACTGTGACATTAAATGCAAGATCTGTAGTGTTCACTCCCTTAACTATAACACTGGGTTGTATTGAAACTTTAGACATTTCAGAGCAACCAACTGACCCCATCCTTGAAGAAGTAATGACTGACGCTGATAACTAAGGTTAGGTTTATGTGCAGTGTTTAACAAACATGTCTGTGTGTATATATAGGTGCAAGGTATACATTAAGTAAAGCAGAGAGAAAATCTAGTAGATGATGCCATTGCAAAATAAATGACCGAATCTTGTCGAGCAACTGTTACCCATCAACACAATCACCAATCAGCACACAACAGATGATGGCACAATTTTTTCTTCAACTGCAAGCAGTTTTTTAAGACAATGGAAATGTTTGGATGTGTTGTCCAGGAACGGTGGGGGCATGAAAGTGCAATTGAGACTCATACATGTTATAGAGTTCAGGGAATTCATGGTATGTTTGAGGTTGACAGCTTTGAGACATCTCACATAAGTTTTTTCTTATAAAACATGTGTTTACATCTTATTTAACTAACACTATAGTACTAGATTACAGAGCCAAGAGTTCAGTCAGCAGATAAAACTAAACAGTGTTCTGACTGAATGGAGAACAGAAATGGCTTATGTTAGCAGTAAGGGCCAGGGAAACCTGTTTTCATTGGCAAAATGCAAACTGTTATCTAAGACTGTGATCTTCTAGAGTGATAACTGTACAGTGTTTTAGGTGGTTACCAATGTTTTGGAGGAAATTTATTTACCTCCATTTTCAAAATACATGATGAAGATGAAGGTGATGGGTTCCTCCAAAGCAAATCAGTCTAAAAACTAATGTATGAAATACAAATATGGGGCAGTCAGACACAGCTTCATAACTTCCTAAAGTGTTTCTTCCTATCTTACACATCTCATTGGTCTTAATAATATATATAAAAATAAATTTCTCTCAATAACTTTCTCGATGCCAAATTGTGTCAGTATCCATTGAGCAGTTTCAGCATTGAGAAACAAAGACAGGCTGGCAGATAAGTGGGTGGATATGACCTCCACATAAAGCTTTTACTTTACATACCTTATGCAAAGAATGTATAGGAAGACTTGAGGTTCTCACAGCGGTGAGTATGAAGATTTCCGTCTTCTGGGTTGTTGTGCTGTGTAGTCTGGTCGAGGTTAACCAACGTTTCAGAGGTCATACTGCCTCCGTCATCAGGGCGATGACAGTATGACCTCTGAAACGTTGGTTAACCTCGACCAGACTACACAGCACAACAACCCAGAAGACGGAAATCTTCAATGTATAGGAAATGTAGCAATCACATTATATATCAGTACTTGAAACAGATTCAATATAAGTTAAAACTCACAAGTAAACAGTAATTCTCTTCATGACAGATATCAGAATCACATTTTTGTTAAATTTACAAATTCTGATGTATCCTAATAACTTCTTAACTATAAAAGAACTTTATATAGCATCTAGAGTTTATACTCGACAAGTATCACTGGAATTTGAAAAAGTACATTGTTACAAAACAGAAACTAAATAAAAACAGGTAAAAAATGAAATTACTTGAACACATGATATTAAAATACATGGTAATAAAAATAGGCAGTCATACAGTAATATGTCACTCTGACAATAATGCCCCAGTAAGAAAGACACCATGAGTAACTGAAGGAATACTAAAATGTATGGTTGAAAGTAGAAAATACAAAACTGCACGAGATGAAGAAAGCAGTACAGGTTGCTTAGAAATGAAATCAACAGGAAGTGCAAAGCAGCAAAAGAAAAATAGCTGAAAGAGAAGTGCAAAGAAGTTGAAAAAGAAATGTTTTTAGGTAAAATTGATGTAGCTTACAGGAAGATCAAACAGAATTTCAGAGAAATGAAAAGTAAGTGTACTAACGTCAGAAGTGCAGATCGAAAACCACTGTTAAGCATAGAAGAAAGAGCAGATAGATGGAAAGAATACATTGAAGGCCTGTATCAGGGGGAAACATTGTCCAACAGTGTGATTGAGGAAGTGAAGGAGGTTGATATGGAGGAAATAGGGGATCCAGTACTACGATCTGAATTTGACAGAGCTCTGAAAGACAGGCTCAAACAAGGCAATGGGAGTAGATGAGATACCTTCAGAATAATTGCAATCTATGGGGGATGAAGGCACTGGAAGGTTATTCAATCAGGTGTCCAAAATCTACGAGTCCGGAGAAATACCACCAGACTTCCAAAAGAGCATTATCTTCGCACTTCCCAAGAAAGGAAGAGCAGACAAATGTGAGAACTACTGCACAATTAGCTTGATATCTCATGCATCAAAATTATTAACTAGAATAATATACAGAAGAATAGAAAGGAAAGTTGACCACAGAGGACCACATCAAACCAGTCAAGACTGATGGCAAACAAACAAAATACAAAGAACTGAAACAACTAATAAAATGTTACAAACTCAGCAAGTGTCATAATATAACAATAGGTAATAAAATATTATAAAATCTGTCAAGATTTTAGTGCCTCAAAGAAAATGTAAGGCTCATAATACAATTTAAAGAAGACAACTTCAGAAAGCTCTTATATAATTCAGTTCAAGAATTATCAACTTTCTACAAGAGCAAAATGTTAATTTTTGTTTGACTTTTGTTTTGTTTATGTACAAGACATGTTCTCTGGCACACTTACAACTGAAAGTTGCAAAAAGTACCTGTTAACCCTACCGAGTCTGTTTGCCCACAAGTAACAACTCGAGTACTGCTGAATGGATTTTAATGATTTGATATTCAGAAATTTTACTAGAATTTGCTGATATATTCTAATTTTGGTTTGATTCCAACAATTACAAGATGCTTTACATGAAAATTAACATGTGCACATCTTGAGTATAAATTGCTAATGTTTAACAGAGCAAAAAATTAAACATTCACCTTAAGCCAAAAAACTTTCTCTGTAGGTCTTCAGTTTCTTGAAACATTTAAGTATATGTGATAATTATACCATCATATAATAATGAGAACTGCTAGATTTATTTCATACTTAGGGTGCATAAATGTGTGTAGTTCATGTAAAGTGCCCAATATTGTTGTCTGATTTTAATTAACACTGGAATGTGCCAACATATTTTAGTCAAACTTTCCAATATTGAATTTAATGAAAATAAATTCAGCTTTTCTTGAGTTGTTGCACAGGGACAGACAGAGCAGAACTAATAGGCACGCTTTTTTAAAATTCAGTTGCAAACACATCTAATAACAACATTCTAAGCAAAAGATTCAGAGCTAAATAAGACAAATTTAATAACTGCACAGTTAGCATTCAATGGAATGTAGATGAGATAAGAAGTTTCTTAACTTAGCAATAACAAGCATTCCCACAATTTATTTTCCTTCCAACAATGTAAAATCAAATGTCATAAGCTTCATTTAATTTATGGAAACATCCCATGTAAGAGCATTTAAATTAACTGTTTTGACAGCATCAGGTACAATGAATTTAAAATGTGTCGCAAAGCATTATTATTTCTTAAAGAGTTTTAAAAAAAGAGTGAAAATATGTAAATGTATTCACATGCTTCAACCTTCATACCATATCATACATATATTATGCAAACATTACCATAATTATCTTCCACATAAGCACAGCAATTGGTCACAAATAATGTAAAAACATATGCAAATGTTTTCAACATAAAATTTATTCATGCACACTCACCTTTTTTACTTTACTATTCACAAAAGAAACTGGAGCAAACTGCAAGCCAATTTATGTTCTTTTTGTCATCATCACTATTAATGTCATTAAGATGCATGAACATATGTTTTAAATGTTGTTTTATTTCTTCTCTACTGATTCATTTATCTGAAACTGACTGCTATGGAAACAGCATACTTTCAAATAAAATGCTTTGACTTCATTTCTGTACATATTACAAACTAAGCAATTAAAGTGATGTTGAAATATCTGTTAACCCATTAATATTAAGGAAAGAAAAAGTATCCATACAAGAAAATGTTTATGTTTCTTAAATAACTTTTATTTCTAACTTTATAAATCATGTGATCTTAATGTCTTGTTTAAGTAATGTAAATCCACAATGCAAGTAGCTCACACACAGCTGGTCATGTGGTAAAATTAAAATAATTTAATTTTTCATGCAGCTGTCATGTTTTACATTGTACAAAGAATTACTGCACCTAAGTTCTACATTTTCCAGATCTATTTCCATACCATACATCATTACATGACCCTGTATTAAGTGATGATAGTTTTGCTCCTACCACACAAGTTCATGCATCCACTATGTTGGTATTACTGACCATAGAAAATTAAAAACTTCAAGTTTGGGGTAATTAATGGTGTAACATCAATACCAGATTTTATCAAATCCATCCAGCAGTTCTTGGAAGAACAGACAGATAAGGTCAGCCCATATAAGTGTTTACTTCATGCACGAAGAATAGTGCAAAGAATTAATGATCATCTGTGCCAGAATCACATTTACCAGCCTACATCTCTCTCAAACTGAAAGTTCAAGACCCTCACCGATGACATAGCAAAGTGAATTTATGAACAAAAACCAATTATCTATAAAATAAAAAAATAATTACACAAATTTTATGAAACAGGAAATCACCAATAAACCATTACTGCATGTGAACAGGGAGTTTAAACCCCCATCCAAAGGGGCTGCTGGTTGGACTTTAACTCTGTGGTTAAGTGTTCAGCAATATGCACTGGAACATAAGGCCATGTGGATCACACATTAATTGGGTAAAGGTTAATAATTAAAAATATACGATCAGTTCCACTATCCCCCCATTTTGATAGTGACTTACACATGTAACAACCATTCAGTTGCTCTGAAGACAGAACAAGAAACAAAAAGGAGATTAAGAAATTTACTGACAGAATTTATTGATACAATATTACTCACAGCCAAGATTTAAAATATTATAGCAGTAACATGCCAAATACACGTACTGCAAAGACTGCAAGCACCAGAGAACAAAACCTACTTACTGTATATTTAAAACACACTACTTCTTCAGCACTATAATAGCACTTCTGCATAACATGGCACAGCAAATTAATTCCATGCAGAAAGTTTTGGCATAATAAGAGTATCGTCAAAAGTCAGAATTAACCCTTTCCATGCTATACATCAAATACCTCACCAGTAAATGTGTTCCACCAATCCTCAATAGGAAAGCTATATATTTGTGGTGAATTAATAATGGAGACTGCATGTTATCTATACATATACAAAAAAGATTAATTTAAATCAAAATCAGCACAGAAAGGGTTTTAAAGAAACAAATCTATTCCAGAATTATCTACTTGTAATTTGCAATGCCATGTAAGAATTGTATTACAACTGTAATGTTACCTGTGGGGACAGTAAGGGGGTCAAGCAGACTGGTGAGGGTTGTGGTGTCATATGGAAGCGAAGATCGCCGTGGCATGCAGTGACGGGGCAGAGAGGCTGTATTCTCTTTTAAGCCAAGTGGTCTCAGAATACCTGTGTTAGCAAAAAGCAAGGGAATTAGTGGCCAACTGAAATAAAAATGAGTAGGATTTTTCAACAAATGAAAACTCATTTTAAGAAGTAAAAGTTATGTGGAGATGATGTTCTGTTTATGGATTTAGGGATATTTTAATAGAATGCTGGTAAAGTTAATATGTATATCAAAATACATGCAGAAATTAGGCAAACTGAGTTTTCAGTTATCTTGAAAGACCGTATGTCATCTGTCAGAACAGATGTAATTAAAAATATTCTAGTCCAAGGTTTTCCAAAAATGTTGTCTGCAGAAGAGTCTGCCTTAAAGACACTAACAGAATTCAACAAGCAAACAGAGTAGTAGACATAAAAATAACATACAAAAAAATGGCAACAGAAATTAAAATAATGATTTCCAAGGTTGGCATGCTTTGGCAGCTGTGTGATGCCTGCTCATTGTGGTGACAATTACTTCAATGTCTGTGAAACATAACTGGACAGAAGTCAAAACACTGCAAAAATTTCAAGGCATGAATGAGTGTGGCAAATAGAACAGGCTTGTGAGCCTCAGAGTACTTTTAAAACAGATCTTTCAAATTAATTGAACATTAACAAAATTACAGATTCAAAACAGAATCATAGATAAAGCTGTCCTATCATGTTCAAGGATTAAGAAGAAACTGTCTTGCCTTATGAGCTGTTACTATAACAACACTGCCAATACAGAAACTTTTCAGTTTATTGTTTCTCACTAAGAGCCATAAAATAGTAATTATTTCTCTTCTTCTTCAAAGTGTAGTTGGTCCTGTGGTTAAATGTATGTCAACTTCCAAGCATTCTAAACCTCAGCACTGGTAGCCAGCTTCACATCCCTCTGGGGGAAGGGCCTCCAGTACTGACTAAATGGGGCCCAGAAGCCACCAGTATATGGTAATAAAGGGAGAAATCCCTGCACCCCAGTCTGCATGTGATGATGAAGAGAAAATGTCCTGCATCTGCCAGGAATAAAACTCCAGTTATCCAGCCTGTGCACTCAGTGAGCTACCCCGCCTCCTTTACGATGGTTGAGAAAGTAAATCAGTTGACACATTCATTCAGAAGTTTTATATTTCTGCCCATTAAACTCAACAGCTTGATCACATTGTTGTCCACTTTTCCAGTAAACTATGCTTATACTGAAGAAAAGGTTTCTACACTAGGAAATAACTCATTGAGCAGAATGACAGTTGTCTAAATGATAATGTAAATGCAAACATTAGGTTAACTCATTTTTTGCTACAAATAACTCAACTGTAGAACATTATAAATTCATAGCACAACCCAGTTTAATGTTATATGATAACTAAAAAGAAAAGTACTTTGTATGTTGGCATACACTATAGAATCTAATATTAAAAGAAATTATCTGCAGAACCAATTTAAATTCCTTGCGGTTCTACTAACAATTTAGGAATCACAACTCTTAGCTTCTTTTTAACACATCTACCATGACAATGCAGTTTCCTGTCTTGGTCTCTAGCCAAAAGCAAAGTGATGTTTGAAAGCTTGTAGTTAATTTCTTTTTAAGTAGATGTCAGTGACCCTAAAAACAGCAATAAAAAAACCAATCACATCAAAAACAAAAGAAAATTTAATTTAGAACAGACAAAAGCTGCTTCACCTTTCTGAGCACTATGACAGTAAGGAAAACTAGTTTTATTACACATAAAAGAAGAGTTTCATAAGATATAACTACCTCAAACATCGATAGACTGAAAATGTGAACAAGATCTGAAACATAGATTGCATGTATGTCAGTTTAAAGAGTAAAGAATTAGTATTGTAGTGTCCAATGCTGTAAAGTAGCCAGCTGGTGCAGGCACAAGCTTCCTGGTTTGACTGTGTTAAATACAAGTGATCAGACAGAGGATTCCAAAAATATTAAAACAGCAGGATTTCAACACTCAAGAATTCCAGAAAGTAGGAAAGGTAATGAGTGCAGACTTACCTAGTTAGGATGGTTTATTCCAAGTTTTCCAAGAATATTCATAGACTATCTGAGCATCCTATCAATAATTCTGCATGCTATGATGGAGGAGGAGGAGGAGGAGGCGGAGGAATAACAATTTATGAATCTTAAGGTTTTCACGGAGGTGAATTTAGGTTGTGATGATCTGAGTTATGGTGGTATGTAGTCTTGCAGGTGGTTACTAGAGTTGGAGGAAACTAAAACACCAATCTTCAGGGTAAGTGGAAGATGGAAGGGATAGGGTCCTCCAAAATATTAACAACCATCTACATTACATAGCCTCAGGACCCAGAAGACCACAATCCAAATAACAATTTAGTATAAAATTAGTTGATCTTACAAACAAGAAAATTTTTTTTGTTACTTTTCCTTATCAGGATTTCTCAAGATATATTAAAACCACATTGAACTGTTTAAAACTGTCCTAAAACAAATAATTTACTGTGGAGTTCACAGTCTTCTCTCTTCTATATGGTAATTATACACATCAAGCGTTATGTCTCACACTTGAAACTCAAGCCTCTCTGGATGCCAATTCTTTGAAAGGAATTTACTAAAATGGGAGCATCTCCTACTTTGTCTTGTCACATCGATGGGTACAGATCCGCGACGCAGGAATCTATCTCCTCCACCCCTGAGTGCTAGAGAAACTGGTACAATGCAATCATCTGAGCGGTTGAGCAACCCCACAGGTGCAGAGCCACGACGCTGTGCTAATCCCTGCAAAACAAGTTATGTTCAGCATACTTGAGAAATCTCAACAGGAGAGCCACATAACAACACTATAATGCACTAATGGTTATGTAATGAAATCCTTGTTCTATGTGTTGCTTAATTTTGTTACTGAAGAGTAATAACAGGCATGTGTTAATTTATATGATTTGAAGCTTTTGCGGCAAATAAACACAGTAAAACTATTCTCTGGCAATCAGATGCAACAGTTGGTAACATTAAGAGACGAACATTTCAGAAACCGTCCCCATCATCAGGGTTCTGATCATCACAACCAACTGATGCAGCAAACTGCCCAAGAAGATTTTATTATGTGTTAATTGCTTCTAAACTTTTTAAAAATGTGGCAAAGTTCAAGTAAATACTTGAGAATGACAGTAACAAACAAAATTATATAATAAAATTAAAAGCAGATTTCACAGTGTTCACTACTAATCCAGTTCACAATCTTTCATCTTACCATTAACTGCCCAGGATCCCCCATAATAATCTTTATTGTATGGGGACAGGTCAATTAACTTATCTTATTACAGGGCTGATAATGTTATTAATGCCAGTGCTAATGGTTTAGTGGCATGCTAGTACAATGCATATCTAGGCGGACTGCATGGAAGATGCGATATACAGTTGATAAAGATTAAAATATATAAGAATTATTTTACACGCTGATTTGTGTGGGTGTGAAATCTGATCTATTAAGGCAAGAAGGTGTTCAGCAAAATATTTGGACCTAAAAAAAGAAGGAAGTAATATAACAGAAGTAATTACATAATAAAAGGCTTCACCTAATGCTAAATATTATTTAATAAAGGATAAGGGTCAGGAAAGTAGCAGCATGCACGAAGCAAACAAGAAATTACAAAATTCCAGTACAAAAACCTCAACAGAACAGGTCACTTCTATACATGAAAGGGCAGCACCAAAATAGTATCTCCCACAAATATTGTTTAAGGACATGAATTGGATTAAAATGGCTGAAGTACAGTTTAATATAAACAGGGTCTTGTAAACATGATGATTAACATTTTGCTTCCACAAAAGTTGCTTAAGCAGGTATCAACAGCTCAGATTGGATACTGCATCACAGAGTTATTTATGAATAATAGGTGAAATTTAGAATAACTGTGAAAACACATAACACTAGTTATCTGCAAAAAACAACCCAGGAAGACTTTGGAGTTTGGCAGTTCTAAGAGCACACTCTTTTGCATTCCAGAGGTACATGGCATATAGATCAGTTGTATTCAACCAGGGGTAAGTGAAGACATCTTAGGGGGTACGTGAAATTTTTTTTAAAAAAAAATTATGATAAACACTGAATAATGAGGGCCATATTTAGGGTTAGCCACAGGAGAACCAGACGTACGGACATTCGATTTGGGAGATTATATATTATGTATAACTTGAATTATACACCAACAACTTTGGGGGTACAAAGTTGAAGAGAAATTATTTCTAGGGGTATGCAAACAAAAAAGGTTGAATACCACTGATATAGATCAGCTATTGTGACTGAAAATTTCCCTGGTATTTCCACTTATTGTTAAGGAAGTACCTTCAAATAGGCCACTACCATCAATGGAAGGAAAGAGTAAGAAAGTGAAAGGACAGAGAAATCATAAACATGTCAACATAATGTGTATAAATAATTTCTTTTGCATGTTTAAAATTTCAAATGTGAAAGCAGTGCATAAATTTGAGATTACCAAAAAGTATATTTGAAGCACTGTATTAATAAAAATTATGCACAGGAATGTTGTTTAGTTGCATAATTATTAATATACATTATCTTTTAGCCTCTCCATTCAGATGGAAGCATTTGAAGAAAAGTCATAACTCCTTGTTTATAATAAAAAGTGATAAACATTACAATCAGGTCACATATGAAAGCTGAAACTAACCTGAGGGGTATTTTTATGCAGACTTCCTCCCCTGCTGGAGTTTGCACCTAGATCAGCATCACTCCCAATATACTGAGGGTCAACATTCTCCTTCTCCCACCTGTGACCACTATTCTGAGGAGTCCAACTGTCAGAGATTTTGGCCATCTTTGATGATTTCTCAGATGCTGCATCTGTTTGTTCCCGCTTACTTCTCACAGTCACAACTTTTTCATTTACACATTTCTGTTCCACTGCACAGATTCTGCCATTGTCCCTAAGCGTCCGAATCTTCCCATTTGGTGTTGCACAACCATTCTTGCTGCAAGTTAAGTTTGAGGGAACCTCAGCTTGATCTGACACTTGGCAAGATAAAGTGGCAGCACTGGCATGATCAGATGTGGAAGAACTGGAGGAGTTTGAGTAACTTGCTCCTTCAGCAAGTACCTCAGAGCAAGTTGACATCTCAGCTGTTGTTGACATGTATCGAATCCTTACATATGGCTGCAGAGGTGGAAATGTCTGCTGACGAATCAAGAAGCGCGATGGTGCCAGAGAAGCAGCAGTACCATTTCCTCCCCCATGTAATACAGAGGACAGACGGCTTGCCTCTGTGCTCGTTGTGATGGATGTGATGCTAGGCTCTGGCAATAAGTTCTCAGCACTTACTGGCCTATTGTCTTGTCCACTGGCACCACCAGATGAATGATGAGGCCCACTACTGCAAGTCGACAGCAATGATAGTGAACTCTGTCCAAGCTGCGTTTCTGCTTCCTCTTCCAGTTGTAGAATCGGCCCTGATGGGTAACGCCTCTGTGCACGATGTTCTGCTACTGGCAAGCTCTCCCGTCTGATTATGGTTCTTGTAATAGGTGGAGGGCAAGGCACACTCAGTGGAACAGAATGTCTTCTGCCCACTCGCTTCATAGAATCCATTTCATTATTATGACAAGGAAGTGATGGACGTCTAGGACTAGGTGAGTCTGGTAGAAGCAACTCCACACTGGCTGTGATATCATCAGTCTCTGTCACTGCCTCCTCTTCTGAGTTGCCACCAATTTCCTCATCTAATACTTCAGCGTCTGAGATCTCAGTCCGTGTCTCTTCTGCCAGTTCCTGTTGTACCAGTGCCTCCCATCGGCTCTGATTGCCTCTCAAGTGCCCCATCATCAGTGTGGATAAGTCTGTCTTAAGGAATCTGTGCCACTCTTCAAACAATGGTGATACCACAAATCGAAAGAAACCTGCCTGAATTTTAGGTACAGAAGTACTCTGTCGATCACAAAGAGATGTAACGGGAAGGTTCAGTTGGCGTTCATAGTCCCCTTGACGAAAGAACTCCTCACACACTTTCTGACTCCACTTACGACTCACATCCCACGGACGACAAGGGTTAGAGATGTCAGCACACTTGAGAGCTATTTGCAAGATGAAGTGGCGGTCCTCAAAACGATGCATGTCTAACAGATTCTGATCTAAGTAACGCTGCAAAAATAAGAAAGAAACAAGGAAGTTCTTTACTAAACTGTATCAATTCAAGAATTAAATTCAGTCATAAATCATTAACTAGCATTCTTGATTTGACCAACATCTGTTTCATATTTAGTAAATCTTCCAAATCATTGTATAGTTCTAGATTTTTAAATTGTAATCTATTTTTCAATAAAGATGATGCAGAACAGTTGTTTGTGTTTGATAATCCATATGCAAAAATGGAGCCAATTTAGACAGAATATTTTCAAGAACTAGCCTTTACAGGATATTCAACGGAGAATAATGTTATACGTAATTATTCTCATTACCTATTAAACTGTTCCGCATATATAAAAAATAAACATGTCAAGTATAACTTAACCATTTTGTATTACATCTTCTCCAATTTCATATTGAAATATCAATTGGTATTTGACTAGTAAGAAACAAATTGAAGCGTGAAAGTCCTTACCAGGATGCAAGTACAAAACAAACTGATTAATATGTCATACCAGTGCAAACAATTTCATACTTTGAATCGTGAAAGGAACTCTTGTTGGCGGGTGATGTCTGTCGCAAGGATGAGAGAGCTAATCTGTTGTTCCAACTCAAGCCTGCATGTCCCCAGCTGCTCAGCCACACTGCTTTCTAACAGACACCCAATAGCAGAACGCCAGTGATGATTTTCAAGCACTGAGGTGTTCTAGAAACAAAACAGAATGAACCTTTAGCTTAAATGCATGACAAACTGCCAGACAGATAATATTATATTATTATTAAAATGAATAACAGACTGATCCAAATCATAAAGCAATGAAAAAACACTTCAATTTGTAACATTTCCTGCCACATGACACACAAAAGGTTTTCACAAATTTTTTAGGTGAATAATGGAAAAGTTGTATGATGTCACAGCTATTAGAATCTAAGAGTGATTAATGTATATGAAAAAGACTGAAGCAATTTAATTATTTCAGTACAGTACGCTTCTAATTTAAACATACAATGACTGATTTATATAATGCAATATTACACAATGCCCGTGGCATTCACAGAAGTCCTTGAAGTATCAGAACATAAAACCTATGATTTCCTTAAACTAGCAACTCATCACAATTTTACCTCATATAATGCTGCTAAATGGTTTGAAGTGGCTATGAGGAATGGTTGATTGACACCTGGGTGGTCTAGGTCGTGTGTTACAGCAGCAATTAATGATGACATTATCTCAAGAGGAGTTAAGTGCATCTTTATCTGAAAAGGAAATTAAAAAATTCTGAATTTAGGTTTTGAAACATGAATGGAAATGTGCAATTGCATCTTTGCAATTGCATTCTTTGTTCTTATTGGCCTTGATGTTAATTTACTATAAATACAAAATTATTATAATGCTACACTACAGATATAACCTTGCAGCCAAGAATTATTTTTCTTTGCATTCCATTTCACCATATAAGAAAACGTGTCATATAATGGCTTTGTGATCTGTGCTTTATGTTGTGTACTAATTCTCTACACAGCGAGTTTCGAGAAAGTCAAGAGAATGATGTGAACTTCATTATAGGAGTCATGTTGGAACTTCACAGATTAACATTAAATTTGCCTGACAATTTTTAATGCAGATTCACAAACACCAAATTTAATCAAAATCCACCAAGTACTTTCAGAAGTGAAAACTGCAGACAGACAGAAAGAATATGTATGACCTCCAAATTATGTATTAATTTTGTGCATTCTGTGCAAAAAGTACATAAAAACGCATACTGTAAATCCGATGTTTGCCATATGCCCCATCTCTCTCTTCAGTTCCCTTTTCTGGACCACAATCCAGTATTTTATAAGCAATAAATTTATTTTCAATAATCCGATCCAGATTTTGACATGCTGGGGCAGTAAGCTGTGTTAAGCTCTAGAAGCCGCATAACAAATTAAAAACGTATTTTAATGAAAAGGCAATATAAAAAGTATTGAAGTTTTAAATCTGTTATCATCACTAATAAAAATATAATAAAACAGAGACTGAACTAACATAACTAGCATTGGTACTTTTAAGTTGTGTACTTTCCTTATTATTTTATGGCAACAAAAAGATAACTATGGTACTTAAAATAATAATATTAAAATAAAAAGCTAGGATACCTCAGTCAGTATATAACTAGGTTATGAGCTGGATAAGTAAATTAAATTCCCAGTGGTATAGGATTTTCTCTTTGCTACAACATCCAGATTGTGGGCCCCGCAGAGCCAAGTACTGCGGCTCCTTCTTCACACGTTAGTGGTTGCAACGTAAAGCTAACCACTCATCTGAATCTAGTGCTGAGGCCAAGAAAGTGTGGGTCTGTATTTCCACTCCCTCCATATACCTTCATGGAGTGGTGGTTAATTAAGCATCAGTGACAAATTTGCCTTTTATTTTTGATGGCCTCTCATGTGAGGCCATAAACTTACACATAAATCCAGTATTGATTATAATATTCCAACACATATTTAGAAAAGCATATTCATTTATGGAATTTCAGACACTAAGTAAGACACAAAGACCTCAATTCAAAATCTGAAGTAAGGAGATGTTTCTAACTAATTGTGTGGAATGATGTGTGAAACAAAATAAAGGAAGAATGGGTATAAAAGAAAATTCATAATTTCAGTGGTATGGCAGATGTAGAATGAAGAAAACAGACTTGGTTGGGAAACAGAGAAGGTGGAAACCAATAGAACAGTGGTTACAACTAATTCATAAAAGGTTGAAAGGAAATAATTTGAAGGAGGTGGAAGGAATGACAGACAGTCACAGAGGGGGAGAAACAGGAAATCTCCAAGGAGTAGATAGATAGAGCCAAGAAGAGAAATTGAAGGGAAAGAAAGAATGTAAAAAACAAATGTGAGAGAGGAACAGTACAAGGAGAAACAGAAATAAAAGAGAAAAAAGGGTAACATGGAGAATAAGGTTGAGGAGGTTAGTTACGTATATAAAGATGAGGAGAATGTGAAGAACCAGGCTGATTCTTCCATTATTTAACAAGCACTTTGAAAATGCTCAAGTTATATCACATCAAATGGTATGAAGACTGTGAATAATGAATTGGAGAGAATGTGAAAAGAAAGTAACCATGTCCTATTTTAAGGTACAGCCTGGTGGGGCCAAGAAAAACTATAAAATATCTCAGAATAGTTGGTCTTTGGTCTCCAGGTTAAAATCTGAATAGGAGACCTGTATAAGAAACATTTTGCAGGACAAGCAGGAAAAGAATACAAGAACAAGAAAGAGGAAAATAAATTTAAATTCTTTGTAATCAATAAAATATGTGTGGTATGAACCTGACCTATTGCTGTCAGTCATTCAAGAGTAATGAAACTTCATTTGTGGTTTCCTTGGGTGTGATATCATGTAGTCTTGTAGGTGGTTACCAGTGTTTTGGGCGAAGTTATCACATTTTTCTCTAAACTGCAAGGCCACAATCAACATCTGATCCTTGAATATCGGATAGTAAACCTCTATGACGAGGCAACAGTGCGTAGAGTTCAATAACCAGAAAATATCCACTGTAACCCTGAAAATAGATGTGATACATTCCTCTGAAATGTTTGTAACCATCTACAGGAACACCAATTTCACAACCCAGAAGACCAAAATCAATCTTCATCACCATGGTAATCTCAAACCCCAAACAGCATAGAAAACTAAATGCATCATAAACATAACACTTCAATACGACAAGCAGCTCATAACTGTACCTTCTCTTCTTGCAGAAAGCAGTGCATTGCTTGCGTCACATCTGTAGCATGGATTGAATTGTGGTACGGGTTTGTACTGTGGTAGCCTGCCTCTACAAGGGCTGAACAAGGAACAAATGCAACAATGTAGCACTACAGGATAAAAATAACTGGAATCGTTAAAACACATGACCACATCAAGCTGCTATTGCAGTTTAAGTTGGCATGATAATTCCAACACAATGCTACAACAGTCTAAAAAACAAAATGAAATCAGATTAATTTAACAATAGTAGAAAGGTATACTACATATTTTCACATATTTCCATGGGGTTTTGTATCTTTCATTGGTCTTGATGCTCATTTATTGCAGATCTAAATCAGACTCACTACACAGAGTCAGATATTACCAAAATGTATTTAAATTAAAAGCTGTATACCAAATCAATATTCAGATTGTCATATGTAAAATTCTTGTATGATGAAGCCATTTTTTTGAAGGAAATTACACAGATCGGATTTAAGCATCATGTAGAACCGGCTTGGATCCAAACCAAATAGCAATTCTTTGAACCCCTTCCTCAATATCACACTTTCCGCTGAAGACAGAAAAACTAGATAAAAAGCCACCACAAATAAGAACAAATAAATAAGTAAATTTAATTTAGGTATTACGTCCCAGTTTGTTCTCACAGATGAATCTGTGCCCACTTTGTACTGATCAACATGAAATGAAATTTCAGCTGCTGTCTCCTCTGCAATTCTGTAATGAATATTGATTACATATGTGAACTTTTTTCTACTTACTGAACAATTTCCATACACGAACAACATCCAAATTAAAATGGTCAATCAGTCCATACCAGTGAAATAAATGAACACACAATACCGGCAGTGACCGCCCTGAAACATTAAAAATAAGAATTATATGTAGTTGAATGTGCAAACACCACATAGGATAAAGAATTAGGATTTTCCAAGCAAAGTGACATCCTGTATCCACTGGATAGGTTAGAAGGACCAACAGCCAATTCGATGGCAGAGAGAAAAATCCACGCCCTTCCTGGAATTTAACCACGGTAATCAAGCGTGTAACAAGTCACCTTCCTGACAATAATGTTCTGTTAAAATAGATAGAGCCAGTTGCTTTATCGCATTGTATAATACTGAATTCTGCAAACTTTCTATAAAGAACTTCTCAACTTTGCAAATTCTAAATAAAATACACTAGGCATAAGAACCACACCACTGGCATTGAGACTGACATTTATTAAGTCTGTCGGTTACAGTTTACAATGTCGGACATGACTTTCTGGTCGTACGTCCACATAAGAACCACACATGAAGGCATATTGGGGGTGTAATGGCAAAGTTCCATGCAATGAAGACCTGAGCACTAGATGGACGTAAATGGTCAATTTCATGTCCCAACCACTTTAGCACCAGGAAAGAAGTCCTGAGTAAATATTCTCATAAATTAATTTTGATTCTTAAAATATTTGCTTACCTCCTGTTACTGTATCTAAAGTGAAGGCGTTGAATGGCCAGTGCCACACACGATCCAGTACACACTGCAAGGAAATGTTATAATAATCGTTTACCAAAAAATTCCATGATGATAATAAAGAATTTTCAAGTAGCAGGGATCATAAACATAATTTTCATTTACTGGGAACATCACTACCACCACGATCTACAATACTGCTGCAGTTCCAAACAATGCAATCAAATCTGTCGTCAGTATTGCGTACAAACACCACCACCAACATCAAAGCAGCCAACTGAAAGAAAGGAAATGAGACTGGTGAACAACACAGGGATTTGGGGGGAAAAGAGTGCGAGGATGGGAGGCAGACACAACTGGTTCTGGATCAGGATTACTTTTTAAACTTTCGGTTTTGCTGTCAAGAAAGCTGGTTATGTGTTCCCTACATCAATGCAATAAGAGTAATGTAACAGTTTGAGCTATGCCTGAACCTGGACTTGGCCATGGTGAATGTCATCCAGAAGGGCTGGTTCCTGTGTTAGTGAACGTGTGGTTAACCTCTTTCGACGCCGTTTATGCATGGTTAAAAATCTGCCAGTGTGTAGTGGCCGCTGACATCTTGTATCCAGTGTCTCCAATAACAGCCAGTCAGAATCGGAGAGATGCCGTGATCTGCTAGAGGAAACAATAGGTCCTGTAACAGACAAAACACACATAGCAATTAGTAATAAGGACATAACATCAGTCAAAAATGGGTCTGCTATGTGCAGAAACGCAAAAACACATAAGCATGAAAACATCCACTACCTAATAACCTAACTTATGCCATGAATTTATTTATACATTTGTGGTTTATTTAACAACATTCTCAATAGCTCTGACTATACAATGTCAGATGATAGGGTAATTACTGAATTTAAAAGATCTGTAAGGAAGTGGTTGAGTCTCAATTCAAGATATCATCTTGTCATTTGCCTGGCGAGAATAAGAACGCCACAAAAAAACCTCAGCAAGAAAGCTGGTCTACGAGCTAACATTCGAACCCAGGACTCCACGAATATGAAGTATGAGTTAAATTTGTCTGTAGAGCCTGAAAACAATAACAAAACGCCTGTTAGGATACCAGGTCTTCGGAAAGGGAATTAAGCCCAGTACCTCCCAAACACAAAACAGAAATGACAGTCAGTCAATTGACACGAACAATAACAGGTTGTGAGGATGGGAATTGGATGAAACTGGCTTAGGATCGTGTGGCCTTGGTATTAGCAATGTTCAACATAATAACAGACAGCTCGTGGGATTTGAGGTTCTCACGGGCTAGAACACACAACACTGCTGTGAATATACAAGTGCTTACGCAGATCACGTCATGATGTAAACTCCAGTCCGTTAATTGTCTTCAAACTGTTAAAATGCATTATTCGCAAGTGCGACGAGTGTTCATGTCGAACACTACCTGGCATCTCGTTCTTATTTATTCACCAAAATGAGTGTAGGAGTACATTTCCCGATTCTCCTGTGCCAAACAACTCGACAATATCTCGTCCGGTGAACCGCTTCCGTGACAAAGGAAGCGCGCAGGACAGAAACCGTTCCAGTCGACCTTCGGTGTTAAGCGACGATAGTTCGGACGATATCCGTCAAACTCTGTTACGCTCTCCACGAAAGTCAAAGTGGATTATTCTACGAAAGTGTGCATAAGGCTACAAAGACGTGCAAATACCCTGTTTCGCTAATATCCACTTTAATATTATCCCCTACCTACACGTAGGAATCCCAAGAGGAATTTTCAGTTAAAATTACATGTCTCTCGGTCTCTCAGTCGTGCTGTATTTCCCGCCAATCCAGCCCTCTTCGATTTAATCACCATAACAATATTAGATAAAGAGTTCAAACTGTGAAGATCGCTATGTGATTTTCCCCATCTTCTTTCTCCGAACGAAATAACAACAGAAGTGTTTACAAGTGAATGGGGCATGGCTAAGAATAGCTCTGAACTCCCTGAATTTTGGTTGCGACAGTGACAAAACGGACCCACCACTGCAAAACAACTCGGGCTTAAATTATCAGGCCTGGGAGAATCAGCGCAAAGGTCACTTTCGTAATGCAGTCAGCAAAATAGTGGCTGAAAATGTGATTTAAAAAAAACTCTGTGTGTTCGAGAGAAATTTCAATGGACGAAAAAAATAATAGGAAATAAATCAATAAAAATAAGGAAAGAACAAAGATAATGGAAGGAAAAAATATGAATAAAGAAAGATTGAGACAAAGATGTGACTGAAGGAAAGACAGAAACGAAATCTGTTGGTTCAGTAGACGCAGACGGCGAATGAGTGATGAGTGTCATTTTGTAAAACAGCCTTACACACAGATGGAAAGGGGGTGGGGGTGGGGGGAGGTGTGCGGGCGACGTTGTGTATAAAGGAACGAGTCGAAATAAATCAGAGAGGCCAATCAGCAATCTGACAGGAACACACGCTATTCGGGAGCACAAGAAAAAAAAACAGTTTCCGTATTCTTACAAAATAACACATGTTTGAGTCGCATATAATCTTTTGGTGAGCAATTCACTGCAAATGCGAAAAGGGCGCATCGCGTTTATGCAAGATCTCTCCCTCCTGTCTTTCAGTGACGACAATTTCATGTTCTGTGAGACGAAATCACACCAGAATCTCATAGCACACACTTTGCTATGGGCCTGAATAAAAACGACTTATTTAATGGATTCCGAATCATCAGTTTGCTCCTTTCCAAGCTTTGGTTAGCTGGCAAAAATGGTGATCGAAATTAAAAAGCTTGGACATAGCTTTCGAAATTGCCGTCTTCTGGGTGTAGTGTAGCCTGATATAAATTTTACCAACAATTAACACGTGCTTGCTGCTATGATCACAGCAACTTCTACCACGGAGCAACAAATCATATTGGCCGGCGAGAAGCCCTGCAGGCTGTGAGGATCGCAACAATGGCTGACGACACCATCCAAACGGGTGCCAAATTATCCTATCCGTTAGTTTCGCAAGTACACTGCAAAAGACTGAAGAATGAGTGTCGTCCTGTGTTATTTTAAGTTGCGCCACTTTTGTAATGCGAAGAGATTTCAGGCCAGATTGTATTTTACATCCCACTTCCCTAGTTTTATGCAGAGAGACTGGCCTGGGCATAATCATTTCTGAAATAAATCAGTGTCGAAAGCAATGTTGTACGCAAAACAGAAAATAAAAGAGAAGTGTTACACACACAAACACACTAGAAACCGGGGTACACCTTCTATGAAGAGCATACAACAAACGTCAACCCTTTTGCTTCGTATTATTGGAGGGGGGGGGTCCCCCCCGATATCAAATCCCTGTCCGGAGACCAACTAGCTATCCCGATTGAAGTTTTCCGCGGTTTTCCTTCGAGTCCTCCAGGTAATTGCGGAGACAACGATTACTTCCTTTCATATCCCTACCAATTCATTGTTCAGCAAACATCCTATCAGCCGACTCCACGTAGTCTCAGCTACTAAAGGCATCGATAAATAAACAAACAGCAAAACATACGCATTTCCTTTTGTTTATATGTTTCAACGGTAACTGAACTTCACTGTTAAAAAGTCGTAGGTAATGTATACTTTCAGAAGACAGGTCGTTTTAAGTGTCAATATTACTTAACAAACACATTCAACGCAGGTGAGAAGTGTTTCTAAGACATTTTGTATTTAGCACTAAATGGGTAAATAGATGTTCGATAAATTCTCACTGCAGCTCACTGTTCTGTTGTTACAGAATTCCGTTTCAATAAGCCTGGGAAAAAAAACAGGAAGACGAATTATTTAGACATAAACGCCGCCACGTCGTTCATTCCTTACCAAAGCAAATCTTTCAACGTCAATTTGTGGCGTAGGTTACTTGTCTTGCCACCTTACGTAATATTCAAAGCAAAACGTCCGCCTTCATTGTTCTCATTCTACAACATCGCTTCACTCTATCGACCACACACCTGAACTCTTCTGGGAGTTTCATGAACTGAAGCATGCCACAGTTTGCGTGTGTGTGTCCAGCTGTCAGCGGGGACAACTCAAGTCAGTATTCAGACTAGGTTACGGACTCGATCACCAGGGACACCGCGTCCAGACTGCGGCCCACCCAGACCCCAGTGATTCTTTCCCCGGGGATAAATTAACCTCGGCGTGAAGCTAACTCCGACGTCAAAATACGTGGAGCCGCTGTCACACCGACATTTATGAAGCAATCGTAAACAAAAAATGTACCCCTGCTGCTGGTCTCCGGGCCGAGATTTTAACCCGGGACCTCCCGAATACGAAGCAGGAGTGTGTATGTGAAACAAATGCGAAGCACGCAAGCGCATACACACAAATAAACTGAATTTTCTTCCTTCCTGCCTTTCATTTTCGTCTCCATTTTATTAACTTTTCTCTTTGATTTTCGAATAATTGATTTCTTTGTTTTTATGTTCGTTTTAATTTGTTTAACCTTAACCCTTATTTGATTTTCTTACTACGTGTTTTCTATTTCTATTAAACTGCATTATTCATTAAAATGGTCGCATTTGAAATTTGTTACTTTATTCAACACACGACTTTAAAACGGATGATACCGCAGGCCTAGCAATGCCCAGCTGAAGATGCACGAACGAACAAAACACTGCAGGAGCACTTCCTGTGATAAATACCAATCTAAATTATCGGATTTCCTGTTCTCGCTGCTACGTCTGCTGTGACGTCGAGGGGTTCCGACAAATCGTCGGTCAACATCTACCAACTACACCGCGCAACATCCCAGACAAACATCTTCACGAATCTAAAGATGACAGGATTCTAAAATATAAATAGGATTTCAATTACTCAGACCACACAGTCACAGGTCAGTGTGGCCAATGATCGTACCTAAAGACACATTACACCCACAATAAAGGATCAAATGCCAAACGGACAATTTGGCAACAAGAGACTGACGTTTCGGCACTGCTGGAAGACAGTAAAAAGTGATATTTCAACAGGAATTAGAGCATTCATCTTAGAGTCCGGGGGGATTAGACATTTGTTTTGACATCACACGTACTACCAACAAGTATACGTCTGTAACTTGTAAACCATACGAATTTCAGATGACATATTACAAAGACGTGCAGTGACTTCGAAAATTTCCACAACAGAAGAGACCGATGATCAAATCGAGTAGTAAAAAACAACATACAATAGTAAACAAAATGCATTTCAGAAATATGTACCTCAGGGGCAAGGTTTGTCTCATGTACATAGAAGTAAATACCCTGTAAAACGGTATATAGGTGGAACAACAACAACAAACTGCTGAATTGATTAAACAGGCCTTGCGATACAACGGTCTGACACTTCATCCAAGATTTGCCGCATCTTAATAAGAATTTACGAAACCTTCACGCAGACGAGGTCAGGGTTCAAAGAAAACTCTACTGCACAGACGGAAGATAATAAGCAGAAGGTAAGGAAGTGGAGAAAGTAGGAACAGAAGGCAGGATATGGAAGCGGAGGGCATTGATGACTCAATGGTGCTAGGTTAAAAGAGTACACAGAACAAGAAACTAGGAGGAGGAGGAGGAGGAGGAGGAGGAGGAGGAGGAGGAGGAGGAGGAGGAGGAGGAGGAGGAGGAGGAGGA